ATCCATTTTATCCGTCTAGACTGTATTGTTCATATATTCATGACCGTGAACTATTGTTAAACTTTACACTTTACCTTGGTCACTAAGGTCGCTTATGAGCAACCTGAATGCTGTTTTGTTATCACCTTTGGCATTCAGCATGATTTTCAAAATGCATGCACAGACCTTACAGCAATTGTCTACAACAGTTTTGTTAAGCCAGATCGAAAGTTGGTATGTGGCATATGCAATGTGAATGCTGTGGATTCGCTGATCAGTTTGATTATTTTCCTGATAGGTCTGCGTAAACAATTGTCAATAACCCTGATAAGGGACAGCCCTAAGGTAAATAAATAAACAAAGGACTCACTGAGGTAAAGGAGTGAGTCTTCAGTAACATTGGTATGCATCAACACAAGTGAGGATATTGTGAGACTCGAAATCACCACTTCATTGACGGTTTTAAACTCAATAAACCTGTGTCCCCTGGCACAGACTCTCCGGGTGTGACTGTGGTTCCCAAAATGTTTACTGTAGATGACTGGTTCCTCGTCGACAGGGTTAAAGTGGATCAGAAGTCACCGTCAAAATCGCTGAACAGCAGGTTTGTATGAAAATCAGCTTTTAAATCAACCGTGACCTCTACCCCTAAGATTGTCCAAAGAGTTAACAAAATGTGAGGAAAGTCAGACCACAGTATAACTGCTGAAAATGGCTCCAACACCAAAGTACTCAAAAACCTGGGAAAAAGATCACAGATTCTCTCATTATCATGAATCTTGATGACAGCTCTGAGCTTCCTTTCACTCTGCAAACAGAAAAGACTGGATGCTCTGATACGAAAAATTGAACAGGAGGCAAAAAAATCTCGAAATTGAGCCATCAACAGTTATTCAGCTTAACCAGGGGTAGGATATCAGACATCAAAATCATCCACGACTACGTGAAGTAACGTTTACAAACTGTTGTGGCATGTAGGATGTTTCACTGGTCAGTTGCTTGCCAAAATCAGAATCGTACTTTACGATACTGACTGATATACCATATCTTCAGCGCAATCTCTTCAAGGAAGAAATATCATTGTGCGTGGTGTCCCAGAAAATATGGACCTTGAATTTACAGCCCTTGGAGCTTAAGAACGTATTAACCTAACAAACAATGTGATTATCCGGGACCCCAAACAATGAAGATAACCTCCCCATCCTCTCAGATGGTGGCCTCCAACATCTAAAAATGTCGCACTAGCAAAAGCCGGTCGCCAACTGGAGTCTACGTACATCCGGACAGGTCACATGGTGCAAGGATTAGACACAAATCAATATTTTGACTAACTATTCCACCTATTTTCTGTCAAGAGCAAAGAAACTTCGTAGAAGGGATTAGGACTAGCAAATCGGAAAACCTTGTGTACGTGGGTTGTTTGTCCATTCACTCAGGGCTTACTCAGATAAACAGGACAAGGAAGCTCATGCGTTTCACGTCGAAAAGAAAAACTGCCTCCAAACCAACGCTGAGAGTGTACTGAACATAAATGGATGATTTTCATGAGCCTATTAACTATAATAATAATCTGACAAGAATAATTGAAATATGAGCATCTTCTCAAATTACAGACTGAGAGCTTACACACCATGCATTTGTTCCGCAACGATGGAAAAATAGGAACGATTACCGCAGCAACCCTTTATCTACGATCTTGCTTACTGGCACACCAATTAAAAACCTAAGAGTTGGAGTAATCTACAGGAAGCCGACTGCTAACACAAAGTATGGCAATCAAATGACGTGTTTATCCCTCTCTTTTTGTCTCGGATGCACTCATATATTGAGTGTAGAAGAATTCAATCCTCCTAAAGTCCATTTCGTTGTGCACACATAAAGTGAAGTTGGAAATTCTACTGAAGCCCGGTAATGAAACTTCATTCTAGATCGGGGATTATTCAAAAGAGATCGATTGCAAAATATTCAGACGCCGTCATGCCTAGACTGCATTTTTACGAACGAGGAATTCTTAATTGTCAACCTCTCATTCTTTTTTTCCCCCAGGAAAAGTGATTATACCTTCGATTTTATCTGCAAATCAGAGCTAAATCATCATATTAACAACATGGGTTGGAATTAAAAACGACTGGATATATCAACCTTACAGTCAATCTACAGCAGTTTGATTGGGACAATCTTACTTAAATTAGTGTGAACACTCGCTAGAATTTCTTATTGCACACGATATTATGTACTACAAAAGAACCTGTCCCACAAACATTCTTCAAAACTTAAAAGCAACACACAGTAATAAAGAATCGCGCTCTTTGAATGATAAGATGCAGAAGGTACTTCAAGGCGGAATGCAAGCGAATAGTGACGGTATCAATTATAAGCAATTCAAACAAGAAATGAAACGATGCACAAGGGCAGTAAGAAAAGATAGACTTCAGTATCAAGTAGAGTCAATCGATAAATTCGTCTCCAATCAGAAGAGCTTATTCCATCATGCGACTTCCCTTCAATAAACGAAAACCGAAGTTGCTTGTTAATACAGAGAGTCAATGAGAAGTAGTGAAGGGTCAATAGACAGTAGCCAGAGGTGACCTGAAGGTCGATTGAATTTCGTCGGGGTCAATAGGTCATTTTCCTAAAGATAGATCGGCATTTATACAAATGAGATTTACGTATTTCATTTGGTAGCCTGATGCACTTTCCTGCCTATTCTTGTGTTCTCTCTCAAATAGTCAGTTTAGTGTTACAGCATAGCAAACGTGCATCAGCATCAGATATCGAACACCACACATCACAACACATGATGTTAGATTTTAACGAATCAGCCCAAAAAGGACGGTGATAGCACAATGCACTTGACAGAATATTATACAGACTACGTCGAAGAGAGCTTCACCTGAAACTCAAAAGAACCCTCGGAATCGAGACTGTCTTGGTATATCAGAAACTACAGCATCTAAACAAGGACATGTCTCTTGGTCCAGATATGGTTCATTCTGATACATTGAAAGAAACGTCTCTAATCTTGGCAAACTGCTTTGTGTGATGTTCTCACATTCGTTAAGTCGAGGTACGACCGCGAGAAATTGAAAGGTGGTGCATATTACACCAATTTTCAGAAAAGGCTGACGCAGTGAACCTCTAAAGATATCACAGGTATTCGGTGTTTGATAGTGTCTTATAATCGTAGTATGCCAACCGAGTTACATCAAAAGTCAGAAATGAAGTAATTCCAAGATATATTTGGAGGAATATAATTATATCGTGAAGCGTTTTGATTAGGATGGCTAAAAGTTTCAGCGGGTATGTAGCACGGCTCATCGATCCGTGATTTGGTATGAATGCGTGACGGGACGCCTTCAGCTAGGTGTGTCCATCAAGAGTAATGATGTCCGCATTAAATGCCGGGAACTTACAGAATTTTTCATCTTGGGGATATATTTACCGCTATTCCTTCAAGCTACCGCTCGGTAACATTTCTCCCAACACCCGCAGAAGTTATAGAGTCCTTTATACGATTTTCTACGTGAATGTTTATGATCCGTAAACTTCTTTCCACCTCAACAGATCGGTTTCAGGAAGAGTCACTCTTATATAGCCAACCTGCTGACCACAGTGAACAACAATCCTTGATCGCAAAGAGGAGATTGATGCTATATACCTGTATTTCTCAAAAGCCTTTGATAGGATCAACCATAAATGCCTCTTCAATAAGCTCAAAGTGCTCGGTATCAAGTCACCGTCAATAGAATGGATTGCCTAATATCTAAATAAACGACGCTTTAATGTCATAATGAACTTTACATTGTATCGGGATAGATAATGTTTTATTCGGGTCCTCAAGATTTCAGCACTAGGTCTTTTGCTTTTGACAGTTTACACAAACAACCTCTCTCAAGAAGTACCGTCTGACTTGTCATTTTACACCGACTTTGTGAAACTCTAGAAAGAATTTTACAACCAATATGACAAGCTGGCACTTCAGGGGGATAAGACCCAAATTTAAAGTCAGGTGGATGACAACGGACTTACTTTAAACACTACAAAATACAAAGTCGTTCATCTGAAACATATAACAGACCACTCATACAACTTGGGCAACTCCACTCTGCTGGTATTCCAAGTTGGAAAAGATACGGTGTGTTTGTACCCTATGATTTGAAGTCCTACGCTAACTGCGACTGCTTTTAGAAGAATCTTGCACTGGTAACGTCGGAGCATAATTTTCCCAGTTTGGTTGTAGAACTTTCCGCTTGATCTTCAACAGTCTTATTCGACCCCATGGGAATATAGTGTATCCTCCACCACTCTAAAAGGATAAGAATACATTACAACGTACTTAGAAACAAGTCACGAAATTAGCTCAAGAATTCGAACTCAAACTTAATAAAGAGCACCTCAAAACGCTGAATATTTACCACTCAGAGTACAGAGGTCTCAGAGGTGTTCTTCTAATAAATTACAGCATCCTAAACATGTCACGGTATACCCTTAAATCCATGCATAAACTCAGTCACAACACATACCCTAGGGGTAACATCCAGAGACTAGAGACACGACATAAAAAAACGGACTGTAGATACACTTTCTATCCCCTAAGAGTAGATAAATGTTGGAATTCGCTGCCGGGTGAGCTAGTTAAAGTGACCCCCCAGGAGTCCTTTAAGAGTTGACTCGACAAATTCTTAAGGATTAAAGACAGTATCTCTCATTAATTTACCAGTATTTTTTCTCTCATTATCGTTAAATATACCCAGGTTCCCACTTAATGGCATCAGTGATCAAGTGATACTGGATATGCAAGTCTGTTAGGCAGAAGATTTATCACATCCAGAACCGTGGGTTTCAATTGATGGATGTTTAAAGAAATTATGCCAGATCAACAAAATCCTGAGACAAAGTCGTAACCGTAATATTATAATAAAGACGTAAAAATAATGGAATAAGAGGGAATAGGACTAACTTTATCTCACAGTTGTCAATTGGGAAATGAATGCAACAACTTGTTTTTACATTTCAATGCCATAGGTACTTTTTACCTGTAGTTAACCACAGTTATAAAAATGGCTGTTGATGTGACTTCAAGATTGCATGAGCAGTCTGAACTGATAATGACTCTAAAATCAAGAGCTGACTTTGAGATGGAACGCCGTAAAGAAGCTGAATGTAAATTATTAAACGAACTGAACAAAAGTCACGATCTCCAGCAACAGCTTTTGGAATGCCAACAGAGGCTAGTAACTTTAATAATGACATCATGTTGACTATTTACAGAGTTTCCGATGCTGAAAACAATAACCGCGTGTTGCGGTCTACATTAAATGATTTAAGTTATGAACTTTTAAGCAAAACGCTAAATAAGAATACAAACACTGATTTAACGAGAAGAGATACATCTGTTCAAACTGGGGACGAATTTCGTCAAAGTAAAGTGGTTTCAGTTGAGGCTTCAAATACAAGAAGTTCTAATCAATATTTATGGAAGTTCAGGTTTGTCGTGATCAGTATATTGTTAAGACAGCTGACAATGATAATTTTGCTTTATCTTACAGAAGATAAAGGTTACTTATCACATTCCTTCTCCTGTATTATCATCTGCCAGCTAAATTTCATTTAAATTGACTCAGATTAGAACGCAATAAGTCCAAGGGTAAGGTATATTTCGACCAAAAGATTAGTAATGAAAATAGAATTTTAGATAAAATTCAAATAAGGAAACATTTGATTCGTTTGACGGCCTTAATTTTTTCAATTTTGATAAGTTGGAGTATTCAGATTTGAGTTTGATTTGGACATGAAGTCGTCAGGGTTTCTTGATGAAATCTATTTGCATCAGTCTGATTAATTTGTGTTTCTGATTTATCTATCTCGATAGTTAGTCCTTCGCTACTTTCTGTATGTCCAATAAACCGGGTTTCATTGTCTTCTTTGTTTCAATTCTACAGATATCTAATTAAATGTTAAACCTTATTCCATAGTTATTCTAACTGCTGGGAATACAAACGCTTTCAATCATTTAACTTGTATTCAAATTAAGTAACTAACACATCTATGTAAAATTCAGTCATCTGTTTATTTAAGGGATTTAAAGCTAGTGTTTACTGACCTAAAGTTATTTAGTCATAAACATAGAAACTAACAAAACTATCCATCATTTCAAGTTGACAAACCATCTAAAAACGACAAGAGGATATTATGTGGATAAATGTCGAAGTAACAGTTTTTCTAGAAATTAAAAAAAGGAGTTAAGTGATTGACTTATTTGTTTTGGAAAGAATTTTGCTAGCTTTATCCAAACCCGCTATATATCCATCATCGTGCATCTAGGAAGAAGGTGGTTGAATGTAAACAATATATGACTAAAAATTATCCTTTTGTGATCTACGGTATTGGTTGGATTGTTTCCTAGCAAATCCGTCCCTTTGGGACTCATGAACTGGGGCTATAACAATAACGCTGAAGAATGTACGCAAACTTGGGTAGCACGATGGATTTATAGAAACCTCTTTAAAAAAATTGTGATCACCTTCCAGTTATACTTTCTCAAAGAGGTTTGCTATGTACCAAAAAATTGTTCGGTTTGTTTGGCTGGGAATAGAACGGTGTTTATCCGATTACACTGACTCCATTTTGTCCTAAAGCAAACTTGGTATTTTTTCTTGCTGACAGATGAACTTCTGCTGTTATCCAGTGATCACAATACAAAACAAAAGTGGAGTTTCTTCATAGTTTTCTCACTAAATGTTAACGTATCTTGATTAAAAACATTGACCATCTGTCAATGAATACAAACGGTTCCGATAAGTGTTGACGGAAATGTCCACCAATACAAAATCTATCGTATCTGGACAAAAAACATAGTGTTCTACTGTCAATTAGGTAAAATACTCCATTAGGATATAATCCATTGAAGAGGAACTGATAACATAGCTAATCAATAGGTTCCGAAATATTAAAGGATGTATTCTGAATGATTTTGTTAGAAGGTTTCATTTACAATGAACTAAGTAGATCTTAGATTTGGCTGCACAAGACAGTGATGTAAGATGAGCTGTTAATCTGAAAAAATTAAAATACTATTGATTGGGATTATAATAAACTTTTTATCAAACAGTCAATGCAAACGAAGTAACTGAAATTGATTCCAATAATAGGTGCTTCCAGAATAGATTATTACGTTTAAAGATTGCATGCTCAACGCAAACTCAAATTTTAATACTCCGACTTATCAAAATGGAAAAAATTAAGGCCGTCAAACGAATCAAATGTTTCCTTATTTGAATTTTATCTAAAATTCCATTTTCATTACTAATCTTTTGGTTGAAATATACCTTACCCTTGGACTTATTGCGTTCTGATCTGAGTCAATTTAAATGAATTTTATTGGGTAGATGGTATCAAAAGAGAAAACATGTAATAAGTTTGATTTTTTTTGGTAAAACGATTACATTATTAAGAAACTGTGGCGTTGAATACTAACTTGTTAGCATGTTCTAAAAGGATCAAAACCTTCGCTTTATACATACGATTGAGTATTTACCTACGTCAAGTTGGCTTTATGAACAATATGAAGATAAAATGCTTCATAAGGGTTCGATCGGAAGTTTTCATCAAATATTACCCTGGTAATCACTGCTTTAGATTCTCCGAATAATGTATTCGTACGTCTGATACTTAGCTAGTTATTGCCCTCAACTTTGTCTTGGAGCTTATCAGTATCAAAATTTAATTCACTATTGGTTTAGCGGTAGAAATGTAATGCACTGGTGAAGTAAGTTCTCATTATATGATAAAAAAATATATTCATCAACTAGATTGTTAAGGGGATTACCCGAAATGTTCGAAATGCGCTAGTTGCTATGTTTTTAAACCTGAACTAAAAATATATACAGTTAGTTAGTGATATGTTGTTTAAATAAGTTTAGACTTTAGATGTCTTAATTTTACTTTTATAAAGAAATCCTTGAAATAAAACCTATCTACACACTCTGTATCCCTTAAGTTTAGAATTTTTAACCGTTCTTGTTGTTTGCTGATAGTTTTCAATTTTACTTTTTCAATGTAATAACCTAGATTTCAGAACATGTAAAAGTCTAAATCTTGAGACTACATAAATTTTCCTAAGAACAAATGGCATATAAATTCATCTATTTAGGTGAAGTTGAAATACCATTTGAGAAAATAATATCGCAAGCAAACATTTGTATAGAATATTTATTAATTAAAATGTCGAAGTTCCGTTCGTAAAAGAAACATTCGGATAGTAGCAAAGTTTCAAAAAACATGTTGTCGATCATATGGTCATTCGCCTGAATCCTGACATAACCTGAATTCTATCTTATTCAAATCATTTTTGCATTGTTTTATTATAGGATAATTGTCTTGGCAAAATAGCAACATAAATGAGGCATATAGACTTAAAGTTTTCAGAATGGATACCTCTAACCGCAATCTAACAGAATGGATTCTTAGTTAGTCAACTGAGCTAGTGTTAATCTAAGTATACAGGCATTCATTTGAATTTACATTATTTATATGCCTGAAGTTTTATTTTCAAGATTTTATAACAATGTTTTCCTGACAACGAGATCAACAATGTAGGTTCTTGTGAGTGTACTTTTCTTGGCCGTTTACTTCCCTTTCCCGATATCTAGTTGCTTTTGCCTGACATAAAAGAAATTGAAAAAATATACAACTCGTCTACAATGATTTTATAATGGGTTTTATACATTTGAGTAATTTGAGTCATATGATGCTTAATCACAGTATAAGTTGCAAGGAATATATAGTACTGTTTTTTCTGTATTTAAAGGGAGTTAAAAAAGGAGAATAATAAACTTTTACAACTGACAAACGAGATGAGATCAATATATACACAAAATTTCAAAACAATTCAAAATCGTTTGAATTGCTTGACAGACTTAATCTCGACAGTTTGTAGTTCTTATTTAAAAGTAAATCAAGCCTATCATAATGATGATGTCAAGTGGAGAAATGAAAGGCAAAATTTATCCTCACATCTAGAGAATGAAAAGCATTTAAATGAAGTAGGTAGTATGTTATTGAAAATTACTTTGACGATTTGAAAGATATCCTTATTGTGTGCTTGGTGTAGATGATTTAACTGTTTGATTGCAATTGCCAAAATTCTGCATAATTTTGGCTTAGTTGTCTGAAATTCAGGAAGTTATAAATTTCCCATTTTAATACTCATTTATGAGACGTTATTGATCACTTGGAAATATCACTCAATGGTTACTTAGCAGTTAGAGATAATAAGACAACAATTCATTTATGTACATTAATTTCTAGAACTGAATTAAATTCTGGCAGTTACTCTTCACGAAAAACACTATCTGGTTCAACGGTTCAAAATTTTCATGACAAATAATAGTATGTGTACACTAAAGTTAGTAAAAGGTCAATAAAACTGTGGTTTTAATATAAATCGAGAAACTAAATTTTGAAAAATAGAGATATTTAGTGTTTTGTGCTCTAAACTCTCCAAACGAAACAAATTACACAGATTTAAAAAGATTGGACTATCATTTATAGATGAAGATATTCTGAATTTAATTACACAATAACAAACCCATTATCAATTAATTGTATTTTACTGAGGGCATTTAGTTAGTATAATTAGACTGCTAACATCAGAACTAGCTAACAGGTTAGTAAAGAGATATATCTGTGATCGCTGAATCAAATCACTACTCACATGAATTGAAACCGAATAACTCAATTTAATCCGAATTATTTCACTAACATTCGGGCAGTATTATTGGATATTCATTCAAAATTAAAATGCAAGTTGATTAAAAATGTACATTTAAGGGTTTTTTAAACAGTAAAATTGTGGACATTTAAAGACTTAGATGAATAAATATCAAAATACTTACTTCCCAAGAATGTCTGGTAGTAGATAGGTCTATGTCATCTTAGAAATTTTCTCAGTCAAGTATTTTGTGTTGTACAATTTGAGTATAAACTAAATCATTATCGTAATTTAGATTTTGTGAAGTGACAATGTTATTGAGATTGCTTTCAAGATATCGAATGGTATTTTGAAACTTGGTAAGAGGAAACTTAAGATGTTCTTATCTTGCCCTGAAGTTTTTCAGAGGCAAAAAACACAATCTTTAGGAGGAGTTATAATGGTCAACAAGCTTGTCGCAACAATTGTTATTCGAAAGCATTTTGAAACAAATTATCCTCAAGTGATATTATTTTTTGAAAAAAATGGTTTGTGGTGATTTATTACATGAAACTATTGCAAGTTCACAATTTTTTATGAAAATGATACCATCAAATTTCCGAATACCATCTCATCTGATTAAGTAAAAGTAAATGAATGTTGATTAAAAGCTTTATACTTGGTTGATTAACGCAAGACATCAAGTAAACTTAAACAACTATTTTCATGTTATCTTCTGTGTACCACAAAGTTTTCAGCATGGTCTCCATGTATATCTTTGGTTATAACTGAAATTATAGGGCTCCTTACCAACAAACCTAGCCTTTATGTTCATAGAAAATCGTGCGAAGGATTTCTCCAACTTGGCTTCATAAAGAACAAATTCACTATTGACTGACTGGTTTTTGTTATAACTTGTGGCCTGCATTCCCTGTTAATGTATAATGTGATGATACCGCCAATTAGATAACAATGATTTGTCGGTCGGACCAATGACGCATGAAACCCGTACGAGCAGTCTAGAGTACTTATCGGTCCTGCTTCCCGCCTATCCCAGACAGTTAAGTCTAGAACACCAATCTCAGCCTCTGTGATATGAATAATTTATTTCAAATATACTGGGTTTATATACAAACCAGACAAACCACATCGTACCATAAAATAGGGAACGACATTTGTAAAAGATTTCGCCAAATGTGGCTGTGAATATGGGGGGGGGGTAGTAATCGATAGACAGGGCATAACTCGAGAATGGTAAATGGTATAATAACAGTTCATAGGTCAAAATAAAGCTTATGATAAGCGGAACACGAACACGAATAGTTTAGTCATTTAACAATTATACAATATAAATATACGGGTAGCATTGGTTCATAAATGGGTCCTCAAAGTTACCATTCATTATTCTCATCAGGATATGACAGTTTCATTTTTTGTTGAGAAGTTTAGAACGTAAATCAAATCATAATAGTGAAATGTAATATTCTATCACAGAGACTAAAAGTCCATGATTTTCTCCTCGGTGTTACCATAAATGGACATAACGAAAAAGTCCTGAATTAAGAATGATGAATATCTCTCAAGTATCGAAGGATCTACACATATAATTCAAATAATGTCCAGTAGTAATAGAAATTACATTCAAACTAAAAAGAAATCAGAATGTTTGATCAATAGTAGTAATTAATTCGGTAATTCTAAGTTCATTATCTTTTCTTTTAGGAAATACGTATTAAACTAAATATCATGGAAGCAGAGAAGAAAAAAATAGAAAATGACATAAATAAATTAAAAGAACAAAGAGAGTAAGTTGTTATATGAATACTGTTTTTCTTTATTATTAATTCAATGGAGACTTTTAAATAGAAAGTCAGTTTTGATGGTAGGCTATTCTAAAACTAGAAAAGTAGATCATAGTTTTACTGTTGAATTAAATCCATAAACTTTTTGTATATTAATGCACGACTACATAATTAGCATTGATTAAAGAATAAAATGACTATGTTATTTGAATATTACTTAATAGAAAGGTATAAGTTTAGTTGCTTTCCTGTAATTATTAGCTTTCGTTTATCATACAATATGTGGAAATCATTTAGAACCGTATTACTGCTTAGTACAAGGATATGTGAATAATAATAATATTTGAATAGGATAAATTTAAGTTATGTAAATAAATGATATTAAATTTGTGTGTATTCATCGAACTAGGTTGTCTAATAATTCAGATGGCTGAGATTTTGACCTGAGTTTGACCATGGTGAAGAGGCTGAATATATTTTGTACACGCTAAGATCCGAATTTTTAATCTGTATAGCTATTCCTTCTGCCATTTGAAGGAATTCGAATATAATATATATTGGTGGATAATTGCTATCATAATAAACAAGTGAAAACGATTGATTTATGCCAATAGTATGATCCGGTTGATCTAGATGTGCTTAGATCGAATTGTTTACTTAGCTACATTGATAAGTATTCATAAGAATAAAAAATGTAATTTTTTCTGACACTAATCGATCTAACGTGTATAAACGTAGTCAAGTCAATAGTTAGATACTAGCAGTTTTATTTTACAAACAATCCTTGAATTCATATGCTTTAATTTTCAAAGATACATTTACTTCAATGTTGTTTATCACATTGAGTTATTGAATTTGAACTTGTAATGACGAAAGTTATCGTTAATAAGAATTATATTTATGAAAAACATGTACATAAGTCAGGCCATTCATTCATTCATCAAATGTGTATTATATCCACTCCATAAAATCATTTCAATCCATTTATCAACCTACTTGGATACTGATAAGTCTTGTCAATTGGACGCTATACTTGTTCCTAAGCTATCCCGGTAACCCGCAGTCTAGAATTACACAGCGACTTGAACACCAGAGAGAAGACACAAGTATGAGAGAGAATACTTTATCTGAAGCTTCGTTTTTGTACAGAAAATCATGGGTATTTATAGATGTTGGCGTCTGTTAAATCAACATCATTTTACAGCAAATCCGATGACGACATATGCTACCGACCAATAGTAGCACGCCACGTTGGAATTCTAGAACGTTCCATCACACTCTGATTGGCTAGGACTTCTCGGCTCCTTTTGGGCCTCTGGGGGCTCCGTTGAAGTTCTCCGGAAGCCGACTCAACAGATACATTCTGAATTGTCTCGAATACATAATTGTGTAATCAACTGACTTGACCACACCATCTGAGATGTCGAAATCCGATTGTTTCTGGGTTAAATGTCAATGTGATTTTTTTTTTGTACTTTGTGCGTTTTTTCAATGAAAAACTTTTTATATAGTACAATTTTATAAGCAACTTTTCAACTATCGAAAATAATGAGTAGAATACTAATCGATCGTTGATATTCATTAATACAGTGTGGTTAAATGGATGTCTGATCACTCGATGTAGTTATTGACATGATGATTTGAAATAAAGCACAGAAACCCTAACTAGGAAAATGAATATTATGTGATCAAGTGACATAATATAACATGATAAAATATCATGGATAATAGAAGGGAATCAGTAATTGACAATCACTCACTTTCTAATCATTTAAGATTTGAGTTTTAAACTTAATTCTCAAGAACAGACGAAATATAACTCGGTAATTTTATTAAATTTGTTAGTTAAAGCATTTTGATCTACTGATTTTCTAAGTAAATTATCGGTTAGCTGACAGTTTAACGCATATAAATTGTGTTTTATTTGTAAACAAACTACTGATTAAAATGAAATACTTTTTCATTTTAAATCTTTATCACACAGTGCTATCTCTTTATTACTTTCTAGTCTTGTTCCTTTGAACACATGGCAAACATCTATAACTAACAACCAGATTAGTAGTAGTGTAATGAATACAACACGGGTGGGGACAATCGAATTATTTTTAGCTCAATATTACAAAGTTACTTGGTAAAATAGAAAAAAAACCATACTATAATACTTAATCTCCAAAATGTTCAATAATTGTCTCGAACTTCGTTGTTCTTGCATTTCCATACTAATCGCTTTCTACTCCCGCTCTTCCTTTCTTGATCTTCCCCCATCTTCTGCTGCCAGATATTACATTCCTGACTCGCGTCATATACTACTTATATCAATATAAATAGCACACTTCACAGTAGTAGTAGTAGTATTATTATACAGTTTTATGAAGAATTGACATTATTAATTCTTGTTCAACACATCGTAATTGAACTATTTCGATTAGATTCATTTCCGTTTTTTTTGGTTTTATTTATTTATACCTTTTCTTTTTAACCATAGAAATGAAATGAAAGAATTTAACGTTAATAAACAAATAAAGCGTTTAAAAGAAGAACTTGACATTTCTAAACTTCAAACGGAACAAATGAGACAAGTATGAATTTATTTCCTTTAAAATTTATTGTTTTAGTGATTCGTTATTATTAGTAGCAAAAGTCGGGATTACTGTGTTAAATTGTGTACAGATTAGCTTAGACACTAATTTTTTTAAAAATAATGACAACAACCTACTAATAAATTTAAAGTAATTGGGTGAAAAGGTTTTTTTGTTGTAATACGGTTTTATTGATCATTGGTGTTATTTGGGAATGCTACAACACAGCCATTAATTACTGACCTATTAAATTATTTTGCTTTAGCACAAAAATACTAATGAGATATGTTGTGATCTTTGTACATCCATGTATACACTAAATCAAGGTATAAAAAAAATTTCTTAATTATGAGTACGCTTCCAGTATAACAGAATAATGACATCGCCTTAATCAATAACATGAATGACTGTGAGGAATGACCACGAAAGTTGTAAATCCTATTGGTTTGATTACCCTATTCTATCTGCAATAGATCGTCAAAAAACAAATACAACAAGTTAATAAACCTTTGATTATTTTAGTGTAAAACTCACAGGATAACATGTATTAATTACATGACTACACATGAAAAATTAGAAGTCGTAGTTCGTACTCAACTAACTTATAAGTAATTTAATGGTTGAATTCATGAATCCATCAAAGCTAGATCATCATGGAAAACCTAGAAGCACTGGACGGCCGTCTCATTTCAGTATAGGACTCCTCAGCAGTGCGAATCTACGGTCCCCCCGCGGGATTATAACCCATGACCTATCGGTCTCGCGCGCGAACGCTTAACCTCTAGATCACTGAGCCGGCATCCAACGGTGTTGATGTCAAACTTCAACCAATCTGCGAAACTGCGCCACCGTCCACCATTGTCTCCAGTGAGTTACTATCTCACAACAGACCCGGTTGAACTCCACTGGTCACGGCTTCTCATTAGAACTTCAGGAAATGCCTCTTGGAGACAGTCACTACTGAGAATATGATGATTATAACCAGAAAGGGGTTTTGTGGATATTATAGTAATTTAGTGATTGAATTCATGAGTCAATTAAAGCTAGACCACCATGAAAAACCTGAAAGCACTGAACGGGATCGTGGATGCGCACAGCTGAGGAATCCAATACTAAAACAAAACAGCCGTCCAATGCTTCTAGGTTTTCCATGGTAGTCTATCTTTGATGGATTCATGAATTCAACTATTAAATAACTAAAATTTCCATAAACCTTTTTCTGATTATAAATTATGAGTGATACAAAAACTGGTCAGTAAGTGACTAATTAATTAATGACCCCAGAACATTTGGACGGTATCATAAACTAATTATTTCTTAATTACATATGTAAAAGATATAATAATTTTAAAGCTCTAGTCATCCATAAATATCCACTCCCATCTAACAGAACTAAGCTATGAATATCAACCAAATAATAAGACATAAAATGTATAGATTGTTTCGTTAAGAAAGTGAAACCAAGATTAAATACTTGTGAATTATTTATAATGTTGAAAAAAAAAACGATTGAAGGCATTCGAAACTTTATCTTTTCTAATAATTCAAAATAAAATGGTAGAATAGACGATGTTTTAATTTAATACCGCTTAGAGTGCTAACCTTACTATGATCTTCTATCATGGTTCTTTTTTATATTGTTAGACTTTTTACCATTATTGTACCTTGATTCTAACTAGAAGTAGTATTTCAAACAATTTTACAACATAATATTTCTCTTTAAAATAACTTTTTTTTTAGAGATCTAACGCATCTATGGACCAATAGGTAGCAATTATTACTACGTTGTTAAGTCCATAGTAATAGTTAGATTCTACTAGACAAATGAAAAGAAATATAAACATTAAGTTAAATGACTTGTCTATCCATGTATTTTGACTGAATGTCAAGATTCCTGGGGCCAAACTATAAACTTACTTTACAAAGTGCAAACAAATTTTTAAATCAAGCAAATTAATTAACGTATTTGGTTCAGTATGATAGAAATAAATTATGTCTCAAATAATTTAGAAGTGACATTGGTAAATTTAACTTAGAATGCCTTAAATTCAACTTCAATATGTTTTGTTGATATGTTTCGACAAACAAGAAACATAATTCTCCTGATATTCTTTGTCAATATTGTCAAAGCTTGGAAATTCTTTTCAATAATTTCTCATCAGGTTCTATAATGATCTCATGTCCAAGTTGGTAATCCAGAAATTTGGCCACATTTAAGACAGTGTACATCATTTGGAAATTGTAATATGTGAATTGAGAATTGTTGTTTGTTATATAAAATTAAATCAGATCGTTAATGTTGGGGTTGACTAATCTGAAGTGTTAACTTGGATCATTGTATAAGCGAAATGAAATTGTGCGATAAATAATCAGAATAAATATGATCAACATGGAGTGGGAAAGAAAATTAAAATCAGAAACTACGTAGTATATAGAATAATATGAACTAGGTCAGATATAGTAGATTTAGGGGTGGATATTGAATAAATTCCTCAAAAAGGTTAGCAAGTGTAATAATAATAATAACAATGATAAAAGTGATAATCACAGTGGTAAAGATAATAATAATATGATAAGTTTGGGACATAAAATGAACATTAATCAGATTACGTCACCATATTTTAAGATTGATTATTAGCTAGTCGGCCAGGGTAAAAGGAGTGGCTGAACATACTTCTTTTGGATACAAAGCTCTGGCTTTTTGATCCAAATAGCAATTGCTTCAGCTGTCTGTAGGATTCGCAGTCTGACGGAATTAGGTAGACTGCTGTTGACACGATGGACTATTGCAAAAGATTGCTCCATGTTGGCTGTATGTCCTGTTTGAACTAAATGGTCTAAGATGGAGCTGTTAGCAGTTTTGACTACACCTTTGCTTAACCACACGGGGAGGTGCTCACGAGCCCGAATGTACAAATTCCTAGAACATCTGCCAATATAACTTGCTCCACAGGAGCAGTTTAATTGATAGATATAGAAGGAGGTGGCTAGTCGAGGTAATTTATCTTCCAACAATGGAGTGATTATTGGTCGTGTGGGGAACATTAATTGTAGTTTACCCGCATTAAAAGTCTCTTGAATTGATCTGCTTAACTTAAGTTTTACCATTTCTCCGTTCATACAATTGTATTTTAATATCATGGGAATTTTTCAGCGATTAAAACCTTGAAAAAGACATAAATATTCTCACTGGAATAATCAGATAAATTCGTATCAATCCGTAACAAAACGAACTAAATTCCGTTTGTAAAACTAAATGATGATTCACTTTTAATTTATTCTTGTTAATCTCTAAGTTTAGTGAGCAACGGTATGTTTATATTTTTATGGGTTTGTTATTATTTTGAATGTTTTTCGTGTCATTAATGTAACTTCATGTACCGTTGTAATGATTGTCGTTAGTCTTTTAATGTCGTTTAAAATTTGTGAAACTAAAAGATATTGTTTGTTGATCGTGATCTATTTGACAAGGTAGGATTCATTAGTATTTCATTCTTTATTTTCCTTGAAAAAGCTTGGATCAGATTGTCAGACGAAACGTTGAATTTACTTCAAATTCTTTCGTTGAGATTTTATAAATTTCATTCTTTAGGTTTAAAACTAAATAACGTACTGACTTTTATAAGCATCATAAGTTACTGATGAAAAACTTATTAAATAATGTTCATTTGTCTGTCGAACTTTATTACTGAATAACAAATGTGTTCCGTATTATATCAACTGTTCAATCAGTCAGTCAGTAACAACGTAGAACTTCGTACGTACGTACATCAGTTCGAGTTGCCACACCACATTAGCACAGAGATGCCGTGGTCGATTCAAATCCCGTAGTGGTAGAGGTAATAAGAGTATAAGCAGTTATCGGAAAGATTAGTGTTTGGAGATGTTACTTAAAGAGTATAATACAGTGAAATAAATTTGGGAAGAGAAAAAAAAGACAAGGAGGAATCATATCAGAATTTGGGAGAATACAAAGAGTGGATACACCTGCGCCATTGCAAACGATTTTGAGCCATGTCATTCAAGGTCTCTAACCATCGGTTGCTATCATCTCGCGGTCCCCAACCAAGTATTCTACACCTACCAACATGACTCAGTCCACTTGTCAGTGACTTCATGGACTTGTGCCGTTTTGGTCTGGCCGCCCCTAGATTTCTTCAACTGTTCAAGCTACTTTTATTTCTTAATAGTAGTCACTGAATAATAACTTTAATTAATTTATGAAACAGATAAAAATGTTGAAAATCGTTTTTCATATTGAATGTGAAGTTTTCTATTCATAAATATATACCAGTGGTATTCCGATAAAGAGGATATATAGAGGTAATACCTACTCAATATCATTGGTGTAAAAGTACATTTAAGTCATAATCACAATAGTTGAGAGATTTAGGATTAACAGTTGTAGATCTATTATGAAGAATACGAGTATGAAATTTGATTATATAATTAAGTAATCATAAAATAATTTTATAAAAAGTTAATATCTGTAACGTTCAATAAACATTTGGAATTCAGATTTCATTTTACTTCAATCTTTTATAAACTTCGTGGATACAATTGACTATTGAAATGAAAAATTATAGTATAAAAATAAGAATTTTAATTTAAAGAACAGATGGATTTTGACTAGCTAAGCGATTTAAAATTCATGTTTACTTCTATTTAGGTTTCTTCAGCTCAATAGTCATGAATCCCAGTGTTGATTTTCACATTTGAACTCAAACTCAATATCTTTGATATTAAACGCCAACGTGTTATATACTGAGTTAGTGAGTTCAGATGACCAGTTAACAATTAGCACAAGATGCATATATGCAAACAAAGACTGATCTAAATTCAATCCTGAATATCAGTATTATGTCCTTGATATGTCTAGCTACTTTTATGCAGAGGATAACTTGTTTAATCTAGATTAAGATCCTGACACGATAGGCTGACTGGCTTAACCTTTAGACTAGTATGCGTGAGTTCTAAGTGAGATCAACTGCTTGGGGTAGAGGGACGCAAAATAATTTTATCACCTAATTAGCTGACAAGTACGCGAGTACGAGAAAACTAGTCAACTACAACACTACATGATTTATTCTTAGTTCCGACCTGGTTTCCGATTTCAGATTAGTGTAAAAAGATACATGAATAAATAGATAACTAACCAGACCACAATGCACAACAGTTAGGAAAAATACAATAGCTTTGGAACAAAAAAGAACTATGTCATTAAATCATAAATGAAGCGAAAGCTTATGATCTGTAGAATACATTAGGAACAAAAATAAATGTTACTGTTCTACAAGCTTTGAATTAAATTAAATAACATCCTGAAAAAGTAGCTTCCGTAGTTTATCAAAGCATCTTGTTTCTCTGTTCATATCAATTAATCACTGATGTCTTTAATGCTTATTCGTATAAAGTCTTTATGTGGTATATATTGACAAAATTTGTTCAATACTTAGTTACTTTTATTAGTATTAATGGAATGGTATTTCTTTTTTTCTTTACTAACAAAACATCTTCAAATGATTTAAATATACCTTATGAAATTGTTTATTTATTTGAAGGATTTTGAAGCCTATAAAATTTATACAAAAGAACTATTGGATAATGAGAGAAGATTAAACAAGGAACTTCGAAAGTCGTACCATTGAAAGTGTCAGGAATGATAATTTATCTTTAAAAAAGATTATTTCTTCAAACAGATTGCAGTAACCTATTCATATCATCTCTAATAAATCAAATTGATTTCGTTTTATTTATTTTGTTGTGTAGACAAAATGTAAACAATTCCGTAAAACATAACAAACGAATTTAAAAGTGGTATCATTTAAAAGATAAGGTATAAAAATATGGATTCTCAATGAATTTTGGTCCATTTTAGTGTTGAATAGAAGGATAATATGTTCACAAGACTTTCTACTATTTGGTACTTTTCTTAGTGATTTAAAACATGTATCTTGATTAAGTGTGCATAAAGTTATATCGAGTCAGTCTGTTAGTCATCAACAATGTAGAACTTCGTACGTATGTACATCAGTTCGAGTTGCCACATCACGTTAGCACAGAGATGCAGTTGTCCATTCAAATCCCGTAGTGGTAGAGGTAATACGAGTATAAGCAGTAATCGGAAAGATTAGTGTTTGGAGATGATACTTAAAGAGTATAATACAGTGAAACAAATTTGGGAAGAGAAAAAAAGAGACAAGGAGGAATCAGGAGATTAGAATTTGGGAGAACACAAAGAGTGGATGCACCTGCGCCATTGCAAACGATTTTGAGCCATGTCACTCATGGTCTCTAACCATCGGTTGCTATCATCTCACGGATCACAACCAGGTAGTCTACACCTACCAACATGGCTCAGTCCACTTGTCAATGACTTCATGGACTTGTGCAATGTTTTGGTCTGGCCGCCCCTAGCTTTCTTCCAACCTACTCCTACACTATAAAACATCGCACGTCGGGGCAGTCGGTGGTTGGGCATATGTAACACGTGTCCCAGCCATCTCAACTGATGAAGTTTTACTACTTCATCAATTGATTCACCATTCTTACCTAGTACCCGTTTCCTAACAACTGCATTACTTACTCAGTGGTCCCAGGATATACGAGCAATGTTTCGAAGGCACCTATGATCAAATACTAGTAACCTACGAATATCCTCTACTCTTGCCGACCATGTTTCACTGCCATGAATTAGGACGGAACGAACGGCTGCACAGTAAACTCGTCCTTTGGTTGGTTAACGGATATCTCACCTACGCCATAAATGACGCAAGTTGGTAAAAGCTAGTCGAGCTCTCTGTATCCGTTCTGAGATTTCGTCACACACCAGACCACATGGGCTGATGAGACTCCCAAGATAAGTGAAGCGGTCGACACAATGCTTCGAAGACACCTATGATCGAATACTAGTTACAGTTGTATAACATTTAGCTGAATTCATAGAAACATGTTAGCTCTTTTGAAAATACAAAGACACATTTATATTGATAAAATCAGAAACTTGTTTTACCTCCAGAAAGAAAGAAAGTTTGAACTTATTAAGGCCTGTTATGAGAGCTGTTGTGTTGTCAAGTTTAATTGTTGACTTATTTGCTTACATTACCCTGTAGCATCGGGACCTCTTTATCCGATAACAAAGCAAACTCTTAACCAATAAATCAGTAACCGTGAATTATGACCAGAGAATCTAAATGCTTACTGGTCTACTAGCTCCCCACAGTCAGAGGATGAAGATAACAAAGAGTAATAAACAATTAATGATAAATCTGAAAGATTAAGAAATATAACATTGATTTGTAAGTCAAATGGAAGCTTACAAATAGACAAATATAGAAATAAATTGACACATATTAAGTAGGTTTTTCTTTGTGAGACATGTCAGTTTGTTATGTGAGGATACAACAACATTCACACACTATTAATGTTTAACATGGAATAAAATTGGAGTATTAATAAGAAGTAGCTTAATTAAAAAGATATTTTAAATCGTTTAGAATGTATGTAAAGAATTTCACTTTCGTTAAACTATAATCTGATTCAGTTATTTTTCAGGTTTTAAAACTATGATATTTATATGCCACATATTGATTGATATTATAGTGTCGGTTGCTATGTTAAACCCGCATAACTTGTTCTAGTTTCTGGACAAACTAATTTATTCCTTTTTCTCAAGCTACATCTTGACCTTGTCAATTATTCGCTTATCAACCTTGATTGTTCTTATGTGTGTGTATTTCTTTTCTTACTCATCACATTTCTGTAACTTATATTTGTGTGGCTATTAATATCGATCAGCGCTTGATTAACTCGAGTTGGCTCACACGCCTTCTCGATTGCATGTCATTTCGCTTCGTTTCTTCGATCGTTTGTCTAAATCAATGATTGTATGAAATACACGTATTTGAAATTCATTCTCGTATTTGACTTATTTAATTTCATTATTGGTCGACGTAATTTAAATCGACGGTTATATACGACGATTGGCGATACGTATATTTCGATAACAAGCAGCAAACTACCTACCTGGAGTCAGATCTCGGGCCACTAAAATATAAGATGCTGAAATGAGAGATTTCATTTAATGTTGATACAGTGATTACTATAATGTCAATCTGATTGGCCAGTATTAAACTTAACAAAGACTAGTTTCTCTTATCAATCTTTTAATGGACTAGTTGATTATACCGCTCGATTGTATAGAAAAAAATTACAAGGACCCGGTAAATCTAGGATTAATTCTGATGAAATAATGATTAGCAAGTAGACATTATTTATAATATTATGCTTTATATAAATGTTGGAGAAATCCAGGAAACTCGAAAAAAGCCGAAAAGACGCTGAAATCACAGAGAAGCATCTTATCCAATCAGCATTCAATATAAGTTTTGCCCGGAACATCTACAAAATGAAGTCACGTGTCACGTTTCTGAGTGGATGATTACCTATACTGCTACTAAGGTCATCTAAAATACTAAATATACCCTAGAATTTCTGTACATAAACGAACCTTGGGGTAAAGCATTTCTTCCGTGTTTCACGCCTTTTTTTCTCGCGTGTAGATTTAACCTGTATGTTACTAGAAGAGCTTAGGAACCGAATCTAGCATTCAATTAGTGCCTGAGACAGTTTCTAATGACGGTAACCCATCTGCACTAAAAATTAATAACATCAATAATTTAATGGATGGATAAGACTGATTGAGGAAACTAAGTGTCACACATTTCAAGATGGAATCACTTATGCCATCTTTGACGGTTTGTGATGCCAGGAAGGAACTTCTTGTTCAATTTAAATAAAGTCACAAATTTCTTAGATCTAAAGAATGTTCCTAAAACAATAAACATCAGTTTATCGTTAGCGAAGTAACTAAGTGTATAATTTTTAGATTTAGTGTCACTGTGTGCAACATATCTAATAAAACCTTACTAAAAGTGGCTAGGAATTCTGTTTGGCGAGTAGTTGATCTTCTAGAGAGCTCTTTTTGATGTGTTCACTGGAATAAAAATTGTCAACGGTTTCCCTATCCTAAATTTTTTCTCCTATTCCTACTTACTTGTCGAAGGACTGAAAAGGTCTAAATCATTAATTGATGCATCCGTTAAGTTCATAAATGTCCTTATCGTTAGAGATAGAACTGTAAACGAAAGATATATGAAAATTGTTGAGATACGTAGAGCCTGTCACTAATTATGCAATTTCCCCACTGTCACCTGTTTATTTTAATGGTCTTTTGTAGCGAGACCTCTTGTTAATCCAAATTATCGCTTATCATAGAAAGCTGTTAGCATAATACGAGCTCCACACAGTGTAGATCCAAATCTGACTAGTATAGTTCTGACATATTTTACGGTTTCCGATAATATGCCCTTTCAACAAAACAAACGTAACCATGTAATTTAGCTGTTCATTATCCATTTAAATTATTCTAATAAGTCAATAGGGTAGGTAGCCAATATCAGGACTATAAAAATCTAACCTGAAACATTCGATAAACCCTGACAAGTATGTGGGGTCGAAATAACTTCTTTTGGCGAATTTTCGGTAATTTTTCATCAAGCTTTACAATTATCAAAACATTTAAATAATCATGATCTGAATGAACATTTTTTTTTGTAAACGTGATTACATATATACCGAAGTTTTCTATCCTAATTCTTAGTTTTCAATGGTAATTGAAATTTATTTAGTTAAATTCCTTGTTTAAACTAGTGTTACATTAGGAAGGGATTGATGGAAAAGAATAGCCATTGTTTGTTTTCTTCTTAAACTTTATTTCGATCAGTGTTTATTCCTTGTTCAACTGATAAGTAACTCATAGTCACACCATTTTGAATGAAAATTGTTAAAAAATAAAATAACAGTTCTAATTATATAAATATATATACCTACTTGGTTAGTCAATGTTTCCATCTCCGAAAGTCTCTTCCATTTGAGACTGGCGAAATCAGTTTTAAGAGTAAATCGGTAGTTCAACTAGTTCAACCACATTTTAAAAGATTCATCAAATGAACCAAACTAACATAACAATTAGTAGGCCAATGGAACTACATCTCGTTTTTACTAATGCGTATCAATGTGACTTGACTTAAGAAAATAAACCATAGTTCTTATTGATATTATATATTGAGTTAAATAAGAGAGTAGTTTTTATTAAACTAATAAAACTTAACTATTTTAAATAATGAGTCAGTTGAAGCTAGACCACCATTGAAAACCTGGAAGCACTGGTGTACGGTGTATGGTGGCGCAACTTCGTGGATTGGTTGAAGTTAGACAATAACACCGTTGGATGCCAGCTCAGTGGTCTAGTGCTCGCGCGCGAAGCCAGTAAGTCCTGGGTTCGAGCCCCTCGTGGTGCGGGATCGTGGAGGTGCACTGCTAAGGAGTCCCACACTGGAATGAAACGGCCGTCCAGTGCTTCCAGGTTTTCAATGGTGGTCTAGCTTCAACTGACTCATGATTTCAAACTGTGAAATTTCTAAAATCTCCACAAAACCCATTCTGATATTTTTAATAAATTTATCAAACAGAATGTCCTTTTAATAGAATAAATATTCCTATTGTATTTGTCAAACAAGTTAATTCATTAATAATTTATTCTATACCTAAATGATGATGTTTACAGGAAGTAAATTAATGCAAGTATGCTATCGAAAAGATTTGTAAAGAATTCAAAGTAACCTTTCCGAATTCTATGATGTTATAAAGTAAACTAAAAAGAATCTTGTATCTAAGCAACAGTTACATCCTGGAGATTGTTTAAAGTAGGATACCTCGTGCGCCACTTCATATATATATATATATATATATATATATATATATATATATATATATATATATAAATATATATATATATATATATATATGAGTTAAAGATGGGAACTTTATTCTTCTAACACCAACTTCCAATTATCATGGATATTGAAAATTCAACTAAGAGAAAACAACAAAAAGTCAGGCTATATCAACTGCTTAAGTCCACTAAAGGATTAACTCGTTTCAAATCTGATGAATTTAGTAGACAAATGTGTGAAAGAAGCCTTTATCGACTGAAACCACTTCCTGGAAGGGAATTTAATTTTAAGCTTTGCAAAATTATCATCCGTCAGGTAAGAATTTATTAATTGTTTTCCTGAACATAAAAACATTAAAGAATTCTTGTTAACAGTGTTGGAAATGTTTAATTTATGTGAGTATTTTATGTTCGGCATAACTAGTCAAGGAAACTTTAAAAATATATATCTTTGAATATGCAGTGGAATAAAATTGTGTCACAGACTATTCATTTGATAAGTTTTAACTCAATATGTTAGTGGTTGGAGGTAGTTGAGATGAATTTGTACCACAGGTCAGTTGTGGTCCGGATAGCTTAATGGTAACACCTCATACTGTGAAACTGAATCACTTGGCAGTGAATTTGCCGGGGATAATTAGTCTCTGTCAAGACTAAAGGTACGTCTAACTGATGAGTAAAATGGAACATAGACTTAGGGTTTTCTGCTGACCATCTAATATACAAACAGTACATGCACTATTGAGTCACACACGTTAGCAACAATATTGGGAACGTGTTTGATAGAATTCGACTAGTACTATGGGGCTAAACAAAAATGACATCGATCACCATACAGTGATTAATTAACGGTAACTGTTGCTTTGCCTGATAAGGTAAACACCTAGTAATTTAATATATGCAGATTCTGAGTAATAAAAATAGAGATACTAGGTTAAAATTAAACACTTGCCTTAGAACTTCATACATACTCATGATAGATAAATGCAAAATAAGACATTTTGTTACAAATCTATAAGAATAGAAAGTAGGTTTCGTTCACTATTGATCATTCTATATCCTAGTCTGTTTCGATGTGCTCATCGTAACATTTAGTGTTTCATGTAATATGGGGCTTTTCATGAAGGCACCTAGTTACTGGAACATTTAAGCAGATATTGTTAGTGATAAAAAGATGAATTTGAAATAATTCAATATTGTTAGAATGGGGATTTGTGGAGACTGTAGCACTTCCAACAGTTGAGTTCATGAATCCATTTAAGCCAAACCAAAATTGAATATCTGAAAGCACTGGACAACCGTCTCATCCTAGTATGGGACCCCTTAACAATGAGCATTCATCATCCCGCACTCATGATTTGAACCCCAGACCTTCGGCCTCACGTGCGAACACATAACCTCTGAACCACTGAGCTGGGATGCAACAGTGTTAATGTCTAACCGCTGAGAAGTCCCATACTAGGATGGGACGACCACCAGGTTTCAAAGGTGATTTAGCTTAGATCGAATCTATGTTTTTATTAACTAAGTCTTCTATGATTGATAAAAGATGTCATAAAATAAATTAGGACTGGTACTTTGAGACTTAATAAAGGAACCAGTTTCTTATACTTTTGTCTAGGATATAAAAATCTATTCATAATCTATATTTCTAAATATTATGTTTTACGAGACTAATTTCTATGCTAGTATTTCATTCATGTCACTTGTTTATTACAGCAGTAGAATACTGTTTCATTACAAGTTTGTAAATGTACACCATTTGTTTAGTATCACTAACTACAGGTTAGTTAGAACTAAAGGGAAGTTTAGAAACTATTGGTTATTAATTTGTACTCCACAAATGAGATAATAGCCTATACCGATGTAACCTATTTGAACAATGTTTATTGCTTAATAAGTGGTAAATTTGAATGTCGTGAGTATATATTCCCAACACAATGTGAAGTAATGTCTATGAGATACTTATTCAGAACAATGTACATACGATAAAATTGTTTTTACACCACTGATTAGATACATATTTACATTTCACCCATAAGGTATTTGAACAATTTATGTCAAACTATAAAGGCGATAAAAATAATCACGTGAGAAGTAGACAAGAATCACAGTCGAACGAGTTTTTATGTAATTTCACTAATCGACTACGTCAAATGACTGTAATGCATCTGAAAGCGTTTGATATTAAAAATGGAGGCCGATATAAACTAATTGTTTATGTAATACAAACAAATTATCCAGAAGGAAAATTATCATTATCTAGCACAATGATAGCAAGTTGTGGATTATTTAATATAGAAACAGACTATTATTTATCTGAAACCATGAGAACTATTTTTGGTCATTTAATTGTAATTGTTTACGCCTGTTATCACGAATAATACATTTATTGACTTCGTATTAATCAATAAATTTGTTCATATTTTCAATTAAAAACTAAGGGCAAATCGAAATAACAAAGCTAACAGATTTAATTTAAGTACAAATCAAGATTGATCGGTGGGACTGTAATTTATAGATGTCCCTTGAGCGAGGCCAGTGACCTTGAGAATACCCGCCTACTAACTATGACCAAATGAAGGTTATAAACATGGGTGAGGAATTAGAATTAGGAATCACAGTTGATGGTTTTCATCACGAACTGACATCAGTTATAATGCCGAAATTATATTTAACCAAGTGGATGAATAAATCTCGCGCCAAAATCCAAAACTTGTTATCTTCTATCTGATTGGTTCATTCATAAATTATAGTCTCGCCGATTGATCGTTTAAAAAAAGTACTACATCATAGTGAATTATTAATGAAAAACAAAACATTTAATGACTTTCATATGATTGAACAATGAATAAATTCTAAAATAAACTACTAGATAGTAAGTCATATAGATTTATAAAACACTATAAATATCACGTTTTAGTTCCTAGTTGATGTGCACTACTTCACTTTTGATAGATTTGGTAATTTACTAAAACTTAAGAAGTGTGATTGTCGAATAAATTAAACAGTTTGTGACTGATGAACTGAAATTGATGTTAATAAGTCATCATAACAAGTAAATCAGTGGCTGGTTTTATAATGATTATATATTTTAGATTACACCATATAACAGAAATTTGTTATCCTGAGACGAATCCTTGAACAAAATTATAAAGCCAAAAATTCAAGAATGATAATTAAAATAAATACAGGTTGCAACTTCTACGCAATACTTGTAGATCAACTCGATGCTTTCACTACATAACTCACAACATGTGAATGGTGATATTAAAACTTGTAGTTTTTATTCACCTGTCATGAGTTGCTCGTTAAGTAATGGATAAATACGATATGCACTAAGCATGAACCAATACTTATGTGAATTATTCATTGTCAAACAGAATTCCTTGGATAACAAATTTATTCAAAAATATTTGATGCATACAATGATCGATCGTTTAACCTCATTTGATTTAGTTAAAATTCGAATGACAATTTTAATACAGAATTAAGGGTTTTGGGAAATGTTGCGTAATTTCAAGTTTCTTCGGTGGTCGGCAAGTCAGTGTTAGATATACCTTGTCTAACACTATAAATAATCTATTTTGAAAGCAAACGACTTTTCGCCCTCTTGTTAGTTCAATATTCAACGATTACTTAAGGAATTGCTGAATTGTTTCAGAATTCAATAATAAATTGTCAGTAAAATCTGTAACAAATACATTCATATTCAAGTTACTTGTCAGTAAATTTTGTTTTCCATCGTCTCATAATATAACACACAGGACATAATGTTAATAAACTATGTGAAATATACCGGATTGTATATTGCATAAACGGAATCATGTCAATAATTATGAAGAGTAACAGTTGATGAGTTACTTATCATTGTTACAAAGATTAACTCGGACACTATTTAATTTTCCATTAGCGTTGTTAGCTGAATAGTCAAGATTTTATGTTTCACAGAACTTGGTAAAATTTATTTTCGACATGACTGTTAAGCCGATCAACGAAGTACGCCTCGAACGATGGGCAGAGTTTTTTGAGTGGCAGTCCAACTGATCTGCTTCCCCGGTAATATCGATCAAACTGTCCAGTCCTGCATGGCCCCTGACGACTTATTCACCAAACAAGGCGGAAGCCCGCAAGAAACTCCAACTCTTGGAGCGCAACAAATCACCAGGCCAAGATGACTGACTTCCGATCCTTTTTAAGGATAGTGGTGGCTTTCTGGTTAAGGAACTGGATGAGTTGTTTACAAAGGTCAGACAATTAGAGTGTTCTAACATCATAGAATGAGTTGGTAGTTGTCCCTATATTTAAAAAGGGTTCACGTCGCCTATGCAACAACTGTCGAGAGGTAAGTCTAATTTTGATTGCGTTCAAACTATTGGCTTCCATCATACTTCATAAATTTTTCAAAACCGGAGGACGATTGGCTCGCGAGGTGCAGGCTGATTTTCATCCTGGTCGAGGATGTATTGATCATATGTTCACTCTCCAGCAAATGTTGGAACCCCGTCATACTTATCACAGGCCAACAATCGTAGTGTTTCTTGACATCAGGGCTGCTTTCCATTCGTTGGACAGGTCTGTTCTCTGGGATTGTCTATTAAAGAAGGGTGTGCCTGAAAAGTTTATTAACATCCTAAAAGCCCTATATACAAACACTTCAGGTAGAGTGAGGACATACAATCACCTTTCTCCGTTGTTCCATTCACGAAGTGGGATTAGACAGGGCCGCCAAATTTCACCATTCCTCTTCAACTTTGACATCGATGACATTCTGGAAACAGCTCTGATGGATGTACGTAGTGGTGGTGTGAATGTGTTGCCTGAAGAAAGATTTCTCGAACTTGAGTATGAGGATGATATTGTCTTACTGTGGGACAATGCCCAAAGCATGAAATCCGAACTTAATCAGTTGGCAATCAGTGTCCGTAGGTATGGTACATGCCTTGCATCTTCGAAGTGCAAAGTACTTTTACAAGACTGGCAGGACCCTGATCCTGCACTCATCCTGGGTAGTGAGCAGATAGACGTAGTCGAGAAGTTTATGTATCTAAGTAGCTGCATAAGTGTTGGTGGTGGTGTGAGTGATGAGATCAATGCACGTATAGTGAAAGCCAGAGTGGCTTATGCCAACCTGGATCATCTTTGTTGTCTTCATGATATTAACCTGAGAGTGGAAGGTCGGATCTACAACGCGTCGGTGAGAGCAGTTTTGCTCTATGCTTGTGAAACCCGGCCTCTCCGAGTTGAGGATGTTAGACGACTCTGTGTTCGATCGTCGCTGGCTCCAAAGGATTGCTGACATCCAGTGACAACAACATGTTAGTGATGCAGAGATTCGGCATCGTGTGTTCGGACACAGAGACGATAATCCAATTGGTGTCACTATCTTGAAACACCGACTTCGGTGGCTTGGACATGTTCTACGAATGTCGACCCGGAGAGTTCTTCGTCGTGCATTATTTTCCAAAGCTTCGACTAGTTGGAAAAAGTGGTGGCCAGTTTATGACATGGTGTCGTGGTATGAAAGAAAGCTGTACAGGCCTGGCTTCTGTTGGTCCTTAACTACTCCCTGATTGGGATCCTAGATATGGTGCAACACAGTGATTAGAGACGTTATCAGATATGGCTCAAAATGGAAGTCAGTGGCGATCCTGCTGTAACCTTTTCTTTCTTCATAAAAAGTGACGGTGACTTTAACTGAAAGAATTATTTCTGGTTTTATCTTTCTGATTCCCCCATTATTATTATTATTTCAGTACCATACACTAATCTGTGATTGTTATTGTTCTTTTTTTCTTCTCTCTCATACTCAACTTACAATCTTTATCTCTTCCCATTCTCATTATTATTGTGTGGTGCATATGTATCTGGTTCCCCCTTGTACCCATATCACATATGACTCAGAATAGGAGCCAGTGGCGATCAAGCTGTAACTTACTTCAGAAAAAGTGATCGTAACTTCTTTAACTGAAAGAATTCTTTATGGTTATATTCTTGCTAAATGAACTGTTTCTCCCATTAATATTTCACTCCCATACACTAATTTCTGTTCGTTGTTCTCCTTTTTCTTGTACGCACTTTACATTCTCTATCACTTGACAACCTCATTGTTATTGTGTGACGCATATGTATTTGGTGCATCCTTGTACTAATGTATGTGTATACGAATAAAATAAGACAAATAATATGGTATTTAGTGACCATAGACGAAAGTTCGACTCAAAGTAAAAGGTTAATAAAAAAACAGCATACAATATGCAATTTAGTTACTGTAAATAAAACACTAATGTTCTACAGCATTAGCTCTCATGACTGCTATAAAGTTAAGGCCCCCAAATGCCCTGGTACGGCCGAGAGTGGGGAGAGTCCACTCTACCTCTCGAAATGCTCTCGCATGGCCACACGTATATAGCTTCTGCCAGGGAAGTTCTACTCACTGCCTCCTGGTGGCGGGGGTGTTGTTTACGAAATTGAGAGGACGAAAAGCGAATGTCCGGCGCTTTAAGCGGGTTGGTGGACATGGATAGTCCACCTAGGGGAGTTGGAAAACCCTGATTCCAAACCAACAGTGCACATGGGCTCCAGTATCCTGAAGGGACAAATGGCGTATGAACCAATCGTTGGTCACCGGCTACCATGAGAATGCACCTTCTTACGTTGTTCCACTGCCTTGTGAATCAGACCTTCAGGTCGAAGGCTTCGGGTGCGGCCCCCTAAGAAAACCACCTGCTGACAAATATCAAATGAGATTTATGTGGCGCATATGTATTTGGTGCCTCCTCGCACAAATATCTGTGTTAAAATAAATAAATAAATTATACATAAAGGCTATTACCGTAAATCATTTAGCTGAAAAAATTTAATGCTTAATTTTTTGATCATTATCTAACAAGTTGACAAAACTTTACAATAACAATCAGCTCATTATATAATGTTATTGAAAGCAAACAATGGGAAGAATGTGTCTATAAATTCGTGATAATTGATCACACTTTGCTTTTACTAAATTAATAGATTGAGAAAGAAACAGTTGACGAAGAACAAATGCATTTATAATTGGTGTTCTTCATCTCATTTATTCATCGATTTTCATAGCACTGAATGCATAATTTAGTGATAAATTACTACTCCAACGCCATCGACGACTTAATGGGTTATATAACATTCCACTGAGTTGACGTGGTTGCAAACCACCTAAAGAAGTAAACAAAAAAGCAACTAGAAAGTAAGGTTAGAGTTAAAAAGTTTATATACAGCTAAGATCCGTTTGTAATTTTAAATATGAAAATACTACAACCTCCATAAATCCCCCATACCAATATAATCATAAGCTAACTAGTGACTAACTGCAAGATATAACTTCTGGAGTTCTAGTGAGAATCCGTGACAAGTGGAGTTTAATCCGTCTTGGGTGAGAAAGTTATCGACCACAAGCAATGGATGAAGGTTTGTGCGAGATTGTGGATTGATTGAAATTATACATCAGCACCGTCGAATGATGCCTCTGTGGTTTAGAGTTTAAGCATTCGTGCGTTAGATCGAAGGTTCTGTGCCCGATCTCCACAAACTTTTATACTAATATACATTAGTGTTTGACTACTTAAAAGATTACATTATCCTCAACCTAAAGTGGTTATTGTCATGATGGTCTTACAAATATTGTGATTATAATGATTATTATTTCGTATCATGGTAATCAAGACAATCAAATAACTAAAAAAATCCACTATTAGAACTTACGCTTGATACAAGCAATCTGTAGTCGACTAGGTTCAATGAATTTATTCCAATCATGAGTACCACGTGGAACAATACGAGCTACATATTCAGCTACACCAATTCCTAGTAGTAATGAAGCGGTAGTACGATTTATTGTAGTTACGAATAACATTCCTTCTAACTGAGAAGGAAGAGATTATAAATAACATCAATTAAATAACATAATTTAATTGAAAAACAAAAAAGCAAAAACATTAACAAAATAATTCGAAAGTGTACAGAGAGCAATATTTATTGACAGTTTAGTAGTGGGAATTAAAATACAATCTGATATGGTGAGTAGTGAATAAATCGATTAAAGTAGGAATGGCATATAAAGTTAATATTTTTCCCAACTGTCTATGACATATAATCACATCCTGAGAAGGGGCAATTATAAGACTTAGTCAATTAGTTCGATCTGTTGGTTATAGACCCCGAAATGTACGGTAATGTAAAGAATTGGTCACGTAGTAAGTTAGTGATTAATTGATATTAATTACTACTCAGTTCCAAATTACACAAATTTGACTACTAATAAATCAAATAAAAAGTGGTGTATTCACACATTATTTTGATTTATTTCCGGGTTCAAATAGATATATATTGCTAGCCTTTGTATGTTCACTATACATCATCAGATATGAGGGTTTCAGTACCAAGGGACAAGTAAGTTAAGCACATCTAGATATAACAAGTGACAAACACTACACCATCCATCAATTATGTCCAGTTTAATGGATTCAAGGATGAAATATACATGAAATGTAAGTGTTATACAAGTTGTTAGAGTCCTATGCTACTCTGTAGCCAAACATCCATAGCAAATGAATGTGAGTTGAACGCATAAACTACAAAATTTAAAATTCGTGTGAAACTAATCAGCACGTTTTCAATTCATTCATATTTATTACAAGTATTATTGTAGTGGACAGAACACGGGCCGGGACAATCAAATGTATTTAACACAAAATTACAGGACTTGTTAATAAAATCTAACAATCATAAAGTAAATGCTTCATTTGCAAAATGACCACCAATTGTCTCAACATGACTCAGACTTCATTGTTCTTGCATTTTCATACAAATTGCATCCTGTTTCCATTCTTTACTGTTAGATCCTCTTGTTTCTCTGCTGCCAGACCTTCTGTTCACGACTAACATCATATACTACTTATGTCAATATAAGTAACACACACCACATTATAACTGAAGTAGATTTCAAAATAATTAGGTCGTGTAACCCGACCGTTGTTGCTACCTTGACGTGGTGGTCAGAATTGCCTATCATGATGAACCAATCGAGCTATACTGACTGGAACAATCGTTCATAAAGGTCCTACTATGCCAAACAGGTTGGTTGAAGAGCGGTAAGACTAAAAGCAGCAAACCCAAGGTCCGAGGACGAAGTCGTACGACTGACTGCACAAACGTATGACGTCAAACAACCAGTATAACAGCGATGCAGCATTCTCATAAGGAAGGGTGAAGTTGGAAGAGGTCGGCCCTAAAAATGCACACCTTTTCCTACGCTATGGATTTCCGTTTTAGACAGTAAGGTCTCAACAAGTACGGAGCTAACACGAAAATTACTCACGCAAAGGTCGTGTGTGACCAACCTCAAGACGTTATCCCTTGAGCACTGCGGTCACGTTCGCAGGTTACTAAGACCAACCCGGACCCCAATCTCCTTTTCAGGTACCTCTGAAAACTCCTTTCACGGTGCGGGAAACTGGGAAGCAATAACCGCCATAATACCTCTAACAGAAATCAAAGGTCGTGTAACTCCGTCAATATTGATTGGAATCTGGAAAAAAATCACTTATACACATTGATGAGTACAAACTTCGGTTTACCAATTTGGTATTTTCATTCTTCATATAAATGTCTATTATGGAATGATTTTGATAAATATTATCAGTATTTTTAGACACGAAAAAAGAAAAGAGAGTATGAGGATAGAGTCACGTATTCTTAAGTTCAGTTACATTGATGGCGATCTTTCACTGGCAAAAGTATTACACTGATTCAGATGAAGTTAATCGGCCATTTGCCTTTGTAGATTTTCAATCATAAAGCTGAGTGATGCGAGTAAATCTTTATCATATTTGAGGTATTCCAATGAAAATGATTATGATAAATCGTATTCTACAAAGTTTCCAAAACATTTGTAGTGGCTTAACTTCGTCAATCAATCACCTTGATAACCGTTATTATAGAAAACTCGACGGTGTTTGAATTCAGAAGGCAATAAGAAGCGGCGACTACAGTTTATTAGCGGATAGCACAGATAAAAAAGTTACAAGCACATCGAGCGAATTGGAGTGGATAGGCTCTTGTGTTTGCTAGCGAATACAGAGGCGAATTCACAGTCAAATAGAATCAAGGCGTAGCTATGCAAGGCAATTCAAGCATCTATATACATAGGAAAGAGAATGATTCATCGATTGATATTTAATTGATCAACATTTAAGCTAGAGAGATATGTGCGTAGGTTGTCACATGTGATCAAACATGCATGTTTATAAAGACATGATAGTGATCATAATAATACAAAGAAATAGACGAATTGTTACTGTCTGAATAGCATTGTCTGTTAAATAAGTTAATAAAAGGGTTTGACAACAATTAACTATAATAGAAATTAATCGTAGGAGTGTTGCTATACTTGGTTTGAGATATCTCATAAACAACACATTACTGGTCTTTGATAAACGTACTATAAAATACACTATCTCGACAACTGTCGTCATTATCAAACAACGAAGCTATCACTTGTAGACTTGAAAGCATAATTCATTTTATATCGAATGGTGAATAAATTTGCTGCTTTTCGAAAGCCAAGTTGACAGCAAACAATATTTCTTGACACAATGTTTGTTGGCTTTTAGTAATCGTATTCAGAATTTGTATGCAGGTAAGGTATGAAATTTTCGAGATCGACTATTTCTAATCTCTTGCTTTTGTTGTGAGAAGGTAGATTCGCTGCAGATGCTGACTTCTGAGGGAAACATCCTACTGACGCCATAATTCAGTACAACGAGCAGCACGACTTTGTCCTCAGACCATGAGTTTTCTGCTTCTAGTTTTGACGTTCTCCAACCGGCCTCCCTGGGATGGTAAGAACAACTGTTTCACCTAATATAGCTCGACCAAATCATTATGATACATAAGCCTGACCACTACGATCGAAGTTACCGAGTACAGTGTTAGTGTATCAAAACTTATTATCTATTAGTAATAAATATATCTCAATGAGCAGAAAACTGTATTTCTGATGTTTTATTACTTAATGTAAGTCACTTCTCCCGAGCATACAAATAACCGATCGTGACTTACGTTAAGTCACGAAACGTCAGAAATACCATTTTCTATTCATTGGGATATCAGAAAAGTATATTTGTTATTTAATTTTTAGCCAATGCTCAATTTATTTGAAAATATCAAGTCCAACCTTGGCATTGGTATCATTTATTATCATGTGTGTAAATGCAAAACGTTCTTTTTTGAACATTACGATACACTGCTAATATTGTTTGTGAAGAGATTTCTCCGTGAATGCTGTTTCGTTTATTATCGAAGGATTTGAGAGTAAATATGATCTTGATGAACAATGGGAATTAAAGAACTAAAAACTATCATATACATATTCAAGAATAATATCTATGAAATATTTCTTACTTTCAAGCACTGTTTTAAATTGTTCAACATATCCTCCCAATCAGTAACGTGTTCTAATACTTCAGACGCAACAACTGCGTCGAATTGACATGGATATTCTTGAGTAATTGATTGTACACTAGTAAGTTTATATGTAGGTTTATGTAAATCTGGATGATCAATCCAGCGATAAGATGTAGCTTCAACATGTTCTTGTGCTACTTTTATACCTTCTTCTACTAAGTCTATGCCCAAAACTTCTGCTCCCAACATAGATAGTGCCTAGTAGGGAATTATTCCAAGATAAACAATATGAAAGATTTATTAAAAGAAATATTAATTGAAAAAATTAAGCGATTTAGGAAACTAAAGCTACTTTTATGAAACATCTTAAAAAAGTGATGAGTTTTTCGACAGAAATAAATATCATTTAACTGAGTTATCTTCTAAGTAAATAATTAGATAAAATCTCAAATCCCATGATAGACGAATAGTGACTGGACTCTTGAAAGCTGAGAAAATATGTGGGTAACTGGATAAAATGTAAATAAATCAACTGTATTATAATTATTCGTATGGCAACTTAGTGAATGCATACTATGATGATCGTTCTTGATATTAGGCGGTTGGAAGCAGTCGACAGGAAACCATGAACCGAAGTTTCGTCCCAGTCGGTACTCTCCAGAAAGGCGTACCTGGAATCAAATACACTAAAACGTTCCAAATCAATTATAAATATCACAGTGATGCAGGAGGTAATTTAAAGTCCTAAAAACGAAGTTGTAACGTTTAAGATTGTGTAGCAGAGAGATATAGGCTCGAATCCCATGGGGAGAATCAGTCTCATTAAGATTGTCAACTAGAACGAAACGTTGATCCACGGTCTTTCGAAGGCTATCCCCAACCACCTAGTATATAGACATAGTGCAAACAGTTTCGAGTCATTTAGACTAGTGGATGTCGTCGTTATATTAACAAAAATAATTTCCCTAAAGTATAGTAAGCATTTTTATGAAAGTACAACCCATTTAGCGTTCTGAATGAAGCTTTTCAAATGTTTGATGTATGTTTCGTCCTTTAACATTTCAAAAGGTAAATTTATAACTAGTCAGCAAACGTTCACAATATAACCATAAAAATTAAGGGATGATTTTGATGACTAATTTGTCAGCCTGTAAAGTAATGTGTTATTCGAAGAGTTATTAAGTATGTTACATTGTATAACTGCTTTGAAAATGACAATAAACTATCAAGATGATATTGGCAATCAGGTTAAATCACACAATGTGTTTTAACTCGAAAAGCTTTGTTTTCTCAAACGATATGAATCATTGATTGAAGACAGATACCAGTGAAATCGGTAACCTAATACATGATACGATCCCATCCATTCATTTGTATTAATTTCACAATCCTTTCTAATAACCAACTATATCGCGAACTCCTGAGAGAATTTACATTTGTGTACAAATCTGTGAATTATAGTGAATGACATGAATCACAGTCAACTTCTGATCTGACCACTTAAAACATTTTTAACTTTACCTTTAGACCGATGGAATTTTATCGACTTCAAAAATTAGATAGCCTGACATTGACTGTGACTAAACGATCAGTCGGTATAAATACCTCAGCTCTCTAAGAGGCCACTCACAACCCGAATAGCTCAGTAGTAAATCCTTAGAATGTGACATTAAGTGACAGGGCACATATTAGATCCCTAAATATTACAAATATGACCTGAAGACGGCCTTCAGCTAGCAGAGAACCAGGATTGATAGCTCCAAAGATGACCACTTTCAGTCAACTTACACTTCATCATGAAACCTTAATAAAACGAAACACAGACTGACGACGTTCAGAGAAAGTTGTTATTATGAGAACATGTTGATCAACCCATTTTGATAATTAACAGTTGACTGATTCCGGTATTATAAGAATGGCTAAATGGGCACTTCTAAATAGTGTACGAAAAAAGTGAACGACTAGATATTTCATAAAGTGAAAACTTCGAATACAGATAAGACATACTTTTATAAATGCAATTTATGCAGATACATTAACGACCGATAAATAAATGCAAACATTAAAAGAAATAACTCACTTCCGCTAGAATACCTCCACCACAACCAACATCTAAAATCTTCGTACCTTTCAAAGGTAAACAAACTGAATCAATGGTAGATAATGTAGTTAATGGACAAAGACCATTTTGAATAAATGGTACACGCAAACGATTCATAGTATGCAATGGCTGTAAATCTCCTTTGAAAATAAAATATATAAGTAGAAAGTAGTTTTATCCGTTTACAACAATCATATGTAACTATCACATATTTATACGATACTAGATATAAGTAAATGAACAGTGAAACCAAGATGAATGCAACCTGTCAACAAATGAGATAATATATAAAGAGATGCAATTAAATAACTAGACACGATGTGTAACTAATAAAAGGAATTAGTACATTGTACTGTTTCTACAATTTAAATTCGACAGCGATTATATTGGTAACAGGCCCCCAAACGCCCTGGTACGACTGAGGGTTGAGAGAATCAGTTCTCCCTTTCTCTTCAAATGATATCACATGGCCACGAGTATACAGCCACTACCAGGAAAGTCCTGCTAACTGCTTTCTCGAGGCGAGGGGTTTTCTTACGAAATTCAGAAGATGAAAAGCGAATGTCCGGTGCTTCAACTAGGTTGGTGGATATAGAGGATACACCTAAGGGAGTTGGAAAACCCTGACTCCAAACCAATGGTGTATATACGTTCCAAGATTCTGAGGGAAAAAATGGTGTCTGAACCTATTATCGGTCATCGGCTACCATGAAACTGCATCTCCCAACGTTGCTCCACTGCCTTGTGGATTAGACCTCCAGGTTAAAGGCTCGGGAAGCAGTCTACTAAGAAAACTACCTGCTTCAGTTTGGGCGACCGGGCAGTATTCTCACCCTCACACAGATCGAATGGTGAAATGTGGTGCATATATATTTGGTGCCTCCTTGTACTTCCCAACTAACAGGTCACAGGTTTAAATCCTGTTTCATATACTTCAGTGAGGACAGACAAGTAGTATCACCAACACTGCGTGATTCAAAGGCAAACACAAAAAAGTGTACTTGGTTAGTTAGTTAATGTACTATCTGAACAACCAGAAGTGAAAACAAAAATAAAACCAATAGATTACAAAAAAATGTACAAACATAACTAAACTGCTTAGGATGACTTAATTCAATGCCACATATGTATCCAATATTTAATGAATTCCTGATATGTACCATTTTGTCTCATAAAATCAATTATAGTGCACACCACAATTTTCTATTTATAGAAAGGCAGAACCTCTGGAGATATTGCTTATCCGTAAAGTCCCTAACTTTTGCCACACTCTGGCACAATCAAAAGCACAACTTTGTAATTTCAAAAGGATCTACTTGGCTCTAATCTTATATTTATCCAACCAGGACCTTAAGGCACAAACAGTACATTTAATAGAGTAGTTACGACAGATCATCCCAACTTTTGTATCTAGGTAGCAAATAAAGTTATTATTATTAATGTCTTTATTCAATATATTTTTGGTACAACATAGAATTCTCAGCACAAAGTATTTTAACAAGTTGGCTTTCCTTATTTCTTCATCTATCCTGACGATAAATATTGAGTGATCACCAGTTAGATGTTAGCAGTTCAAGAATTGACATCTGAACAATGATCATTCTTTTCAATGCATATTGACATCCATCACAATGTCTCTGACCATACTTTTTTGTAACTCGTACGGCGAAAGATCGTAAGCTCTTCATAAACACGCAAAAGACACATAACTTGTCCAGATATGTTGATGTCAGAAACAGGTAACCCAGATATTCAAGAAGGTCGCCAAATTTAAGCTAACTTAAAATATTATGGACTGAAGAGATAAACTTATGAAGATATCTTAAAGTAAACTAATATATTTAAGAAAGAATTTGAAGAAATTTACGAATTCACCATTAAATTTAAAAGAACCTTCTCAGAAACACGTATCATTTACCGATCTCAATGGCAGAAAACAATTGCGAAAGACAAAATATGCAATTTAACAGTTCATGAAGCATATATACTTGAGATGTTGCTTAAAGTTAATAGAAAGATTTATAAATATACCACACTTCCTTTAAGTAAATAATAGGCATTTCATCGATATTTGAGTTCATAAAATCTATGAAGCTACATGTTTACTGTAATTCAGTCCCCAGATCGTTTATATATCCATAAATTATGAAAAAGTTTGTGTCTGGTGATTAGTTCGTCAAATATTCTAGTTACTGAGTCACAATATAAATATAAAACATATATCTCATGTGAATAACATATACCTTATATACCAAGGAGATTTCAAAGTATTCTACTTCGAGATCAATTGTTTGAAAGAGCGTCAATGATACTACTTGACCAGCAAAATCAAAGTGGTTTGATATCAGAACATGAAGCGTACTGGTTGAGAAAGGTAAATGCTTTAGCCATTAAGTCAGTGTTCCACAAAAACAGCGGACAAAACTACTGATTTTCAAAGTAGCATAAAATGAATATATAACCTTTTAAAAATATACACAACAGTAAACAGGATCAAGAAGACCTTTAGGATCACCTGTCGAGCCTTATGACTTAAAATCCACACAATATTCAAACATGTACAAGTAAACAAAAAGCAGTATTGAGACAAATAGTGAGAAATTATACAGCACTCACCATCATAGTCCCACCAATGCTGGGCGAAACGTTTGAAGTTAGCGCCTTCTGTTTCGTCGACTTGCATACTGGAAAAATTCTGACAACTCTTCATTCCACTGAGGGATGGAAAACATTTCTGCTTGAGTAATTTCACAGCAGGAAACAAGTAATGACTTGCCATAGTTTCTTAGTTCTGTAGAGAAAATATAAAAAAGATCCACCAAGAAGAACATCAACAACAGCATTAGGGACTAGTTAGATGAAAACACTCCATAGCATCGGATTTAATTTGCTTTAAAAGAATATTTTTCGGTAAGCTACAATTGTGATTGATGCACTGTATTTTGAAAACAAGTTGGAATCAGTTGACCGTAAACAGAATAGATATTAGTATAAGGAAGTAATGAAACATAATACTGAATTCAACAAATTTCAAGCTAACTTTTCACAATAAAAACAAACGATGGTCAGAGATTCGATTGAAAACAAAGTAAGCTTAAGGGAAGAAAGAAATACTTCAAGACTATCTGAAGAATAATTGAAAAAATCAAGGTGGAAAGTAGACTATATAATTCGAATAAATGTTTCTAATTCTCATAATAGTTACGAAGTTGAGAAAGTACTGGATGGGAATGATTGGGAATTAACAACATGAACCATTTAATCCGAGCGTCTACAGATTAAAACTTATCAATGATAGATATTTTAAGTCTCAGAGAATCACACAGAAACAGTCCGAATATGCAATTTACAATTTTTCGCTACACAATAAATTCTATTGGGGAATATGCAAGAAATTTACAAGAGATTTAGTGAATGCTACTACGGTAGTTATAGTCATCAAAATTGAGAAGTAAGTTCTTTAACCAAGCAAAATCAGTACAGTTGGATTACCCAATTCCTAAGTAATTTTAGGTCTAATTAGAAGTGATCAGTCACAAATCGCTCGCTTTTCTACTCAAAAACATATCAGATATACTTAAATATTATTATTCAAGCTGTTACATTGAGTTTTAGAACGAAATTTGTTACTATATAGAAAGAATCTCGTAACATGATTACAACGGATTAGATTAACTTTTTTATGGTTTCTGATAATTTGCACTTGTTCGCATTTCTAAAAGAAACCTAAATACACTGTAATATATTTTTCATCATATCACTACACATAGAGTTGGTGAAGTAGACGCTTAACCTGAATTTTACTAAGTAAAGACGTGAAGAAACAAATCCATACATGAGAATTATACATTTAAGACATTACTTAACGTTGTCAGTTTGAAGGGAAATACACCAGAACTTCTCATTCGTAGAGAATAACAGTTCTGTATTAGTGCAAGGGAAATATGTCTGATCTACATGATTAGTTCTGAACATCCCGATAGACTAGATAATGTTACGAGCCTACTTCATAGTGATGAGCCTTATAAAACTGTAATTAAAATGAAAAACTCAGTAGTGAATTTCGAAGGACTGATAAGATCATACTGAACGGATGCGTCTCGATAGCATAAACATACAGCAAATATAGTTGCTCCTACAATCTCCTGTTTCACTGAGATTCAAGAATATAATGCATGGTTATTGATTACGAAGGATTAGTAAACAGCAAAAATACAACTTATTACATGTATTCTTAGAGATTTAGATGAAAATACCTACATTATTCAAGCATATTTGTTTATAAACAGGGTAAACTATCAAATAGGATTGTTAAGACTCTGTAGCAGTATCATTCGAAGTACAAAGATGTTCGATGGTTAAATACCTCCAATCACTACTTAACATTTCAACACAATGCATGCGTTGTCAGCTCACCTAAACCAGTGGCTACAATGCAACTTGATTACCAATTATAGGACTAAACAAACATGAGATTGATCGCTTCTCAGAGACCTTACCCCAAGCCGCTAAACTACAATGATAACACCTAATTAGGAGTTCAGTTTTTTTTAAATTATGGATTAGCTTATACAAATAACAGAAATTAAAACTCCATTATACGGTATAATACAATACATGTTACGTATTATGGCAATTTACGAAGATATGACGAAACTGTATTCACACAAGAATTACCTAATCAACTTCTCTAATCTTTCACTCTGCAAACAATTAGAAATACGTAATTATTGATATTTTCAGATCGCTTGGTATAAAACATAAAACATTATAAGGACTACGGCAACATCAACTGGAGCGAACATGCCATTTTAATAACTTTATTCATCGCTAATGACTCGGTGCGTAAACCCATTACAAAAACATTAATCTTATGCCAAATGCACACATAAAAAGTCGAATAGACACATGTCTTATAAATAATATGCATACACAAATTCATCAGGAAAGGAAGTGAAAAGACAAACTACGAGTATGTTTATAAATATGTATGTTACTTTATTGATAAATTCATTTGACATAAAAAAAGAAAATTAACACAGGTTTGCAGACAAATAAAGTAGTAACATCAAATCATGAAGAATAGGAATTCAAAGATTTCACAGCGAGGATTTAAAAAGTGGTCAATTGGTAGAATGGACAGAGTCTCTAAGTTTGTAAGAAGAAAGTGGAGACATATCACAATGGCTATTGGCAAAAAAGAATTCATATTAAATAATCAGAGAGATGATAACTGAAAATAATACATCAAGCGAAATATTGTACAGAGAAATAGAGAATAGTGATAGAGAGAGGAAGAAAATACCAAGATATTTACAATAACCAACAATGTAATAGCATTAGATGTACAACAAAGAAATAAGTCAAGAATATAAACATTACTTTAGGTCTAGGTTGACTTTGCAGACGAAATGAGGTAAATCTTATACCACTAGACATTCTGGGTGTTAGTTGTTGACTACGTACAACCAACTGCTTCAATAAAACAGATAGCCAATCCTTTAGGTTAACTACAACAATAAGGATAATAAAAATAAAATGGTATTATTGAGTAAAGAAAATAACTTTTAGTTCTATTCAAAGTTACATGAAACGCACATTCTTGAGAAGAGAATAAACTTTAATACCAAAAAAGGCAGCTAAACACTCAATATAACTGGTAGTATGATCAATGCTATGGACGGCTGTAAGATTCTTGAAACGTTTAATATCATAAATTTTATTCCAGTAAACGTAACACATCGAAGTACAACGTTTTTACACTAGTAATATAAGTGCTCCGGTGAACTATGACCCTGAAAGTGAACAATTTTTTATCAATCAACCTATTATTCCTATTGTCTAAACCTGTATTTTAAACCTGAATAGCAGCTGGGAAGGATTGCTCAGGACAGAGTTCGATGGAGAATGCTGGTGGGCTGCTTGTGCTCCTCCACAAAAGGCAAAAAGCGTAAGTAAGTAAGTTATATGAATCTACTCAATGAAAAATTGTAGTAAAATATCTTAATAATATCATAAAATAACATATATATCTATAAGAAAATAATATCAGGTGAAAAAGTCGATTTTATTCTTTAAATCTCACTGGTTGTTAATCGGTATCAAATCACATTAATTTTTTTCCGGTGGAGTAGTGGTTTATTCATTAAGGTATTGGATTTCCACCCACTAAGTGTCAGGTTGGAACCCCGAGCCCCGACTACTTCGGTTCAGGCAACTGGGTGGTATCTCACTAGCTCTCACACTTGCAGTGTGGTTCATGCCTAAGTACTGGATGAATGAGTTAACTGATCTTGAAACTTTTCTGACAGTTTCAACATAATAACACCCGACATTAAAGTCATACACAACATACAAAAATTAATCTATATTCTTTGCTCATAACCCAACTGTTATACAAATTACATTTATTCAGTTAAAAGCAAGTTCGCACAAGTAGAATACGCTATACATTAAGTACAGTACAAAATCTTACTTAGTTTATGTAAGGATTTAAATCTGATGGGTAGAGAACGTAGAAATGATTCTGTAGGTTCAAAAGACTGAGGAAAACCTCTCAAATCAACAACTGCCGATTCGGCTGTATAATTATTGTTTGGTTCATGTATTTTAATAGATATTTCCGATGTCCTAGAAAAAAATAACAAGCAAGAAAATATTCATATGATCTACACAATAAAACACGTATTGTAAGTATCATTACCAAGGTTTGACTTGATAATTTCAAATAAATTGAGCATGGGGTAGATTGTTATAAATAAAAATAATATGTTTGTAATATCCCAATGAGTAGAGAAATTAGATTTGCTGACGTTCCATGACTCAGTGTAAGCCACTTCTTCAGAGACGTGGCTTTTTTACTCACATTTCTAGTGTAAGCCCTAGTGATACGATTCGAGTCCAAGAGTTGAATGTATTAAATAAAAAGTCACTGAATTATATACAATAATATACACGTAGTACAGATGTGTAAATGTACTGGAAGCTAACATCCTACAACATTTTTAAACTTGCTACTGAAATTTACGAATCACGAATATCCATTGGAAATTTTAAGACTGGCTTAAGTGAAGTAGAATAAATTAAGAAAACAGGTATAAGATAATCAGATATTTAGTAATTTAATAATTGAATCAATTAAAGCTAGACCACCTTGGAAAACCTGGAAGCACTGGAAGGCCGTCTTGTCCTAGTATGGGACTCCTGAGCAGTGCACATCCACGATCCCACTCGCAGGATTTGAACTCACGATATTTGGCATTTGGAACTCCGCCTGTAGCTCTTATAGGGTTACTGCCGGTCCCAAGCCCGGGTAAAGGAGGAGGGTTGGGCATGGGGTTAGCGTCCCCATCCCGTAGAAAACTAACTCGCTAAAAAAACGCTTACCAGAAGTATTTGGCATTTGGAGAAAAACAGAGTAAATGTTCTTGGACCTGTATGGTCGATTATAACTTATGCCATTCAAGAAGTTCATGATCATCAATTACTATCGATCAAAGGATTATAATCTAGGTTTAATAGTTTGATGAACCCCTTAAAAAAGTAACCCAGTGATAATTCCATATGAAACTCTTACTTCAATTTAGCAAAGGTGGTGCATAGAGGAAGAGAATATCTAGGTGTGCACGAAACGTCTAAAAACACCTTGATTCAAGTGGATTAACAAGGGATTTTTGTTTATCACTTATCAGTTCAACATAGTAGTAAATGAGGAGTTGAAATACAAGTCAAATATAAACACAACTAATGAAGGTATCAGGCAGAATTTTCTAAACAGGAAACTACTCCTAGAAGTTTGTGTTTGTCAGAGTTTGTCTGAAAATCTAGGATTTAATCCTAAGAAATAGTATAAACTAATATTCATTGAACTAAATGGTGAACGCAAAATCTAAATAACCATAAGATATAACGAAGGGTGGTTCTTCATAAAATAACCATATGGTTAGAACTTACGGTATTTCAGGTTCAACAGAATATGATGTCACAGGCTTTTGATACGTTGGACAATATTTTCCAAGAAGTATTTGACTTCTACGAAGTTCTTGTGTACGCTCATACAAAGAGTCTTCAAGTAACGCGACCTGAGTAAAATATATGTACAATAATGATAAGTTGTCTTATTATGTCAACTAATAAAAACAAATGCTTCAAATAAAAATCTACTTCACAAAACGTAACTAACCTGTTCATCCAATCCTTCAATGGTTGCTTTTAAATGTGCACGTTCTACAGTTGCATGGGATAAGCGTTCTTTCAAAGTAAGAAACTCTGCATTACTTGCCTTCAACTGATCCATAGCCATAATCGCTTCCTCCTCAGCTACTTTTATCCGCTGTAACAACTGAGGATATAACGAATCTTCATCAACACTTTGGTTCGGGTTAACCAAGTTATCATGCTTTAATTCACTAATTGAATGAAGCATCGAATTTTGATAACTATTTATTACTGCTTCATTGTCATTTCCCATTAATGATACTGGTGCCGATTTATTGAATACATGAAGATTATTTAATTGAACCTCACTTGGGATGCTTGGTTCGTTCACACTACCATATTTTAAACTTCCATCCATCAAAATTACACCGGCTGAAGTTTCGCATGAAGTTATATCATTGCCTACCACCAGTTAGAACAGATAAGAGCAAAAACTATAATAACCATAAGATAACTATGTACAAAACAAAAATTAATTTTCAGTTCATCTGAGAAATCTCATCATACCAGCTAAATATGAAAGGTAGCACAACAATCGATTAGTTACTCTTAAAATAGTAACAACTGTGATGCTTAACCCAAATACTACTTCGTTAGTTGTAGCTAACGAGAAATCAGGTGGGGAAGACCAATTTATTGTTGAGTGAGAAAATTACAGAGTATCTTCGTGAAATATGAAAACCATACATTAAATATTTCATTTACACATCTTCCATCAGTTGTTATCACAATTACTCTTTTTATATTCCTGTTCTCTTCAATTCGATCTTCCCAATCTTATGCTGCCAGGCATTCTGTTATATCCTAGTGAAGATTAAATTTCAGGCAACTTCTGAGAACTATTAATGGACTAATTATATATATATATATATATATATATATATATATATATATATATATATATATATATATCTGTATTCCTCTTATTACAAGCTTCATTTCGGCCTATAGATTATTATTAAACGACTTACTGTTCTTAAGTTATGCTAAGTTAATTGATTACAGCCTCCCACGTTCACAGCCACTTTTTGGCTTGAACTTGTATAAATGTTATTTCCTATTTTAGGGTGTGATGCGGTCTGTTTGGCTGGTATATAAACCAAGTATGTTTGAAATAAATGATTCACATAGTGGAAGCTGTTATTGGCGTTCTGGACTCAACTGGACGGGCTAGAGGAGCAAAGGATCAATAAGGACGCTAGGCTGCTCATACCGGTCGAACGTCATTGGTTTAGCAGTGCTAAGATTAAATAAGTCGTATTTCGATTGGCGAATAAATCACGTGATAATCAGATGAGCTTAAAGTCACAACATATCCGGCATCTGATCCATGTTACATACTACTTATATCTGTCGACGTAAGCAGGATACATCACAAGTATTCTGATTTCTTTCCTTTGTAAAGATAAATGCAAATAAATGATAACTGGAGTATAAACTTATATAAATACATGTAAACAGGCCCAACTCCAATATCCCGAAGTTATCGGCAGGGAAAATGACAATGCAATGCATAAATCAAACGATTATTGTCATCACTAAATTCTAATTGCCTACTAATTTCTCTAATTATGGAACATTCATATTCGTGGTCAGGATGTTTCAATTTGAGCAGACTGCAGAAATTAACAAAAGATATAGTCCGTAAAATGAAATAACAAAAACCAAATAACAGGAGGATTGAACGTCTAAAATTTACCTATGATGAGTGATTCCGTTTGAACATATTTACAATTTTTAACCGGGAGATGTGAGATGTTATCGTATCGATCAATAGGGTCAATAGCTATATCAACCTTTTGGATAAAATCAGTTGCGGGAATATCATTCAACAAATCTGTTTGAGCGAAACTGTCTTTAAAATGTGGCTTGTGTATTGCTTTCTTCGTAAAGGTACTGTCCTCACAAACAAAATTCTGATGATTTATTATATTCCCTTGATTGATTAAATCTGGAAACGGGTTCATTTTAGATTGTTTACGTTGTAAAACATCGTTGAGACGTTGAAGTTTTTGACAATTTGTACAGCTTGAGGAGTCAGATGAGTTTGTATTCGTCAAACCATTAAGTTTGCTTGAAGAAATGCTTTGTGATACAAGGCGATTCAACTGCATGCGTAAAGCTCTTGCATCTGAACTTGCTTCAGCTAACTGACCCCGAAGTCTTGATGCCTCACGATCATCATCTTCTCTTTGACGTGCCATATCTAATCGTAATTGAGTAAGCTCATTTTGAGCAATAGATAATTTCAGTTTTAAATCATCGATACTTAAAGTATCTATATCTTGCAGTTCATTGTTTGTGTGTAAATGTTTTAGTAGATTCCCAATGAGAACTATGAAATAAAAAAGATAATAGTAATATTCACATTATTGAAAGTTTTACTTATTTACACTTATCTCTTATATCGATATGACATACGAAGTAGAGAGCTTGTAAATTGAATAATGAAATGAAAACGGAGCCACATTTGACCACATTTGAATCCCACTCCATCTATTTCCGTTTGGGCGAACGGGCAATATCATTAGTCCCTACACTTTGAGTGTGGTTCATACCCAAGAACCTGGTGAATGAATTAATTAATTTATTTATATTATAATCACCAACAAACAGAATGATATAATGATACCAGAGCAATAAAACAGAAAACACTATTTATCAAACATATGGTAATATGGAGTGATTAAAATGATCAAATTCTTTGTCTACCAGGAAGTAGCTTACCATTTGATATTGAAAGGATTTTAGCATATTTAATAATTTGTGACTCCGATAAGATACCTACAGGATCTATTAAGCATAGTTCATCAGCATTTCAGACTGTCCTATGGAAATATAAAGCAAATAGTCGAGTACTTAATCAACTATGGTGTCAACGCTCTAGTTACATAATATGAAAACCTGGGAGAGATGAAGCATATTTTTGAAATTACATCTAAGAGAAAAATACATCATTCATAAAGGTGATAATAATTGCTTCATTTCGTACCATACGTCTGAACTTTCAAGAGAATTCTCAGCTTAATCAGCTAATAATTAGCTAATAAATAAGATCAAAAGAGGGGATCGCATTAGTAAATACGAATTGTTGATAGATCATTTATTAAGTACTACAACACATTGTTTGAAATAGAAAATATTATAATTTCGTTGAACTTACTTTATGATTGTTTTTTTTTTAAATTACATTTGGTTGTATTTAAATACATCTGGAACTGTATATCGAAACACAATTCTGTGAGTGCCTATAGTGCATGACTTAAAACCCAATACATGGAGTCAGATATAGTTATTCAGTTTCTTTTATTCGTTGCTTTAACCATTAAAAAGTGCGTCACATTAACGCACTTGGACAGTTCCAGTAAGTAATTATTTCAAAATGCTGAAATAAAAAGTTAGTAAACCGTGCGAAGGAGGAAACCTTAGTGTAAAAGAATAAACTTGACAAAATTATTAAAAAAACACAGGAGAATACAAGCTCTCTTATGAGTAAGACGATACAACAAAGATTACTTATCTGTCGGTAAGGAAGCACTATAATAAACGTTTCATATCATCAAACTAATGATAAGAGATTAACACAATAAGCTAACAATTGAAAAGCAAGAGACGGATAAGCGTGAGATCAAAGCAGTCACTAGACACAAACAAATTGCAACAAATTTCAATCTTACAAAGCACAAACCTCGCATATTTTGGTTCAAAGAACTAGTGTTCAGATTTGTTTTACTGAAGAATAATTTGAACTGTTCTAATAAAGCAGTTGCTTTAGCTAATTGATTACGTAAATGAGTAATCTCCATAGAGGTTCTACGTTTTTGTGCTTCATAATTTGTTTGATGATGACGAATAGTATCCACACTGGAATCCAGTTCAGTACCCATATGATCTAATCGTTCTTGTAATTGATCAATACGTGTTTTTTGATTTATACGGTATTTTCTTAAACGATCCAGTTGACCAACTGCATTCAATAAAGCTTCTTGTAATTCACACTTCCTTGGCTCAACGGATTCAGAAAAACCTGAATGTTTTAGTGTACGATTGAGAACATTCCTTGGATTAACCAGTCCATATTTTAATAACTAAAAATGAAATAGTGAGAAATGATTTATACACTTAATGAACCAAAATATTTTATGAATAAACTGACAAATGTAAACATAACGATTAAGAATAAATTTGTCACCAATACGATGCATCCCATACTCAGGTGACATGAAGAATTTCGTAAAGGCGAACAGCGAATGACTCTGAATACATAACAACTTCTAATAGTAAAGTTCTCTTGTACTAAATACTAGTTTTAGAAGCCAAAATTCAAGACATTAAACTGATGATTATCACTCTTCTCATTAGGAATAACCACATTGATTCATAATTCATCCCAAGTGTTTCTGATCCCTGATACATCTCTACTCCCAACCAGTCTTCGTAATATTTTAAATCGAGGATTATTGTAGTACCTCATTTTCACGTCCTGTGTGCGTCCGATTCAGATACAGATACACACGCATCTTAGCTTGCAACATGAGTTACATAATTAGGGGTGGCTTGAAAGTTGTAAATGCAAAACGGAACGGTGTACGCAAATCATGGATAGACGTACTACTGCCCTCTTGATCCAGACCTTGAAAAGGTGCATAAACGGCATCAACCAATAGCGTGCCAAATTTATCATCTCCCATCTACTGTTTGATATTAGACGGCATTTGAGCGCAGGAACATGATACATCGAAATTTAACCAGTTAATCAGTTATTAGCAAACAACTAGCAAGGGGGAATTTCTTACACAATGAGCAATAGCTGGAGATAGTATGTCATGCTTCCCAAGTGCTTTTACGCGGCCTTTCTAGTACAATTATCACATAACTTAGTGGTTGAGACAATTAGCTTTAAATCAAGTTGAAAATTGTAAGTTCAAAACCCGTTTGGTTTGTGTATCCAATAGCATAATTAAACTTCAAAAGGTTTTACTCCGAACATATCAGTTACAATCTGTATTGTCAAATGTCATGTATGAACGAAGAAAAAAACAATTATGGAACAATCAAGAAAATTTTATCAATGAGGTTGTAAAGAAAAACTTCTTACAGTTTCGTATTTAATTTCTCCTGAATTTTTAAATCCATTAGGCTTTGGATCGGAAAACGTTTGCTGATTAAGGTGTTCATTCTTTGATATAGAATCAGTTTGAACAGAATTGTGTTTAGCAGTTTTAAGTGAATTTTGAGCTTTGATTTTGCATTGTTTAATGCGTTCTTCTAATTTTTGTTGGAATGTATAAATGATTTTCAAATTATCTGAGGCATCTTGTTCACGGGATAGCAAGAGAGACTGAATATGTTTTAATTGACTATGTGTTGATGTTACATTAGAACATACGTCTAAAACACTAGGATGTGGATTAAGTTGGGATAAAGTTGACAAAGTAACAGAAACTGAATCACCACACTCGTTCAAATTATTTAATAATTGTACTAGTTGGAAGTGATCTGTCGAAAGACGATTATATAACAGAGAAACAATTCGATTGCAGGCAGCTAATTGTAATTCTAAATTTCTGACCGAAGACAAGTCACTATTATTCATAGCCTCCAATTCAGATTCAAATTGCTGACATAAAGAAACAGTCAAATAGTAATGATAACGAAATAAAGTTTTCTCAAAAATATAAGCTACAATCGTCAAATATTATTATGATTGAATCATATTATGAACTTAAAAAAAATTCACGCTGCACAATAGAACAGTATGATAAACAAAAACAAAAATCATCCGGTGCAACAGAAAAAATAATACAGAGATAAAAAAATCAAATAAGTGTTGACTACAGTTATACAGTTGCGAATAACTAGGTTTCACACAATGAATGATGAGTAGAAATGAGTCAAAGGTATCATAAACTAGGTGATTAGTCAGATAAAAAGTAGGACCAGGCACATATGTCCACCGATCGAAGTTGCCACAACTCGTTAGCACAATAAGATGAACACCGAATCCATAGAAGTAGTTACTTCAATGGTAGTAATCTATAAGAAAGATTGCATATAAGGATGTAATACATAAAGAAAAAATCAGTTCGTAGAAAGAAACGTATAAAGCCATTTTAATCTCACGGTTTAAAGGAAGACAAAGAGTGTATACACCGACGCCATTGTGATCGATTCGGAGCCATGTCACCAAGAGTCTCCAACCATTGGTTACGGCAGTCACACGGACCCCGACTAAGTAGTCTGCATCTCTCAACATGGCTCAGACTACAGGTTAGTGACTTCAAGGACTGATGCCACGTTCGGGTTTGGCCGCCCCTAACTTTCTCCCAACCATTTCCAACACCAGTTAGCATTGCACGTCGTGGTAATCGGTGTTCGGGCACACGTAACACGTGGCTCAACCATTTCAGTCGATGAAGATTCGCGACCTTATCAACTGATTTACCATCGTTCCCTAATACCCCGCGTCTAACCTCACTATTACTTACCCGGTGATCCCAGGAGATGCGAGCAATATTTCTGAGACAACTGTGGTCAAATACTAGTAGCTTACGAGTAACTTCAACTCTTATGGGACACGCTTCACACCCGTAAAGTAGGACAGAACGAACTGCCGCACAGTATACTCGTCCCTTAATTGATAGACGGATATCTCGCCTGCGCCATAGGTGACGTGGGTTGGCAAAAGTCAAACGGGCTTTTCGAATCCGTGTTGAGATTTCGTCAGACACCAACCCATTAGGGCTGATCAGACTTCCAAGATAAGTGAAGTTGTCAACGCGTTCGATTACTTCACTCCCTATCCTTAGTTCAGGTATTGACGCAGACCAGTCCTGTAGCAACAACTTGCATTTAGAAAGGAAGAAACGCATCCCAAACATCATGGCATTGTTACTCAGTGTCCAGTATCATCACCAAATAGTACTATGTCATCTGCGTATTCTAAGTCGACAAGTGGACTTCCTTGAAGGAGATCAATTCTTGAGAATTCAGACGATGAGTGCGTTATTTCCAGAATTATGTCTATGATGAAATTAAACAAAATTGGAGATAGTGGACAATCTTGCCGGACAGTCAGCGACCAAGTTATGTTCACACATTAGATTATCTAATGTTTAACAATTTTACTATGATTGATAGCAGCATTTTAACTCTTTCTATTCATCCTGATTCCATATAAATGTGCTGATGTACTGTGGGATACTGGACTGACACATTTGTGCCAGCACATAAGGGCCTATCACTAATGCATGGATAACTACAACGGCATTTCCAAGTCACAACAAAAACGGACTATTTACAAAAGAAAGATCTCCACAAAACGTTGCACTGCCGAAAAGCTGTTGTCAAATATACGTATTCACAACTGGATTGCCAATGACCAACAGCTATCCAAGATGATTTTCACAAGTCTCCACCGTTTCCTGAAATTCATAAAAAGAACCGAACTTCCTTTGGAACTTCAACTGAAAATATCTAAACCCTACTGTAAGACCGATATTTGCGCCAATCAAGGAAAAACAAGACTTGAAGCTCTCAAAAGTGCGTCGACGTATTTATTTTTGTCACAGTGACTAATGTGTTAAGCAACGATTATTGCTGGGACCGGTAGAATAATGATAAACTCCAGTAAGAAAAATATAAAAGCACCCTACTAATAGTTCGGTACATACCTCCTCTGAATGGCTAGAATTACCAATATCAATATGGCAAGTGTCTTCGCATTTGCTGTTCCACTGATTGTGATTGAAATTTTCACTGAAAAATACGTCAGATGAGCACATTTTTAATGTGTCGAAAATGATGGGAACGATAACCTTAGCCACACGTACTCCGATACTTCCGAACGTCGCGCGCTATGTAAAAGGCAAGTGGTAATTTTCCTCTGAGTATACTTTATAGTATTGACCGCTTAATTAGGCATCGAGACTACTGTTTTTGCTTTGATTGAACTCATTTAAGTTAAAGTAATCTCAAAGACTATCTCATTTTTCTGAAGTAACTTGTCATCTGTACTTTTGAGTACAAATAGAAAATAAGTCAGTGTTATTGTTTTCCTCGTTGTGTATATCTTTGTATGTTGTTTGTATCCAAAGGTGTTAAGGTCTTTTTGTAACTACTGAAGTTGGATGTTTTATTGTTGTTACGTACAGTGAAATGCAAACCTCTGTTTTTGTGTTCAGTGTCTGTTACTTGTCAAGCCTTAGAAGACACTTTTTCTAGAAATCAATTTTCGCTGTTGTTCTTCCTGTGAGATCACTAAACAAATTTATGGTGCAGGTTAAAACATCGTTGTGTCAGACCTGCATGTCACCTCCCTGTCGATGATGGCATGCAATGTGACAACGGCAATAAGTTGTATCAAAATGTGTTCACCGAACTCACACCGGCTGCATATGAAATGTGCTGAAAACCACTATAACCTTGACTGTGCAAAGCATACTGTTCCACAAAGTCTCTGCTGAGTCTTAAGGAGATCGAGTTGCTGGACGCAGCTAGAAAATTGCCCTGAGATAAACCGGTAGCAGTAGATGAGTAGAATTCTGTGAAGATGCTACAGGTATTCGGAGTTTGACAACGCTTTAACCAGTAACACCTTCTAATATAAATCGCACCCACCAAGTGAAATCAAAAGTCAGAAGCGAGGAGGTTCGAAGATATATTTGATAGGCTATCAATATATCGGGAATCGACCTATCCAGACTGACTAGCGATTGCAGGGGATGTTGAGCACAGCGTTCCCACTCGTGATCTGGTGCGGATGCATGACCGATTGCTTTCAGCTAAGTGAGTCCATTAAAACTAATGCGGTCAGCATCCAATGTCGAAGATTTACAGAGCTATTGATTTTGAGGATAAGTTTACGCTTCATCAGTTTTTGGGGGATTAGCCAGTGTTATCATGAGCGCAGCTTTAGATCATCAAGTTGGGGCTCCTTAGATAAGCGGATAACCAGCATATAGATATAGGCATTGGTATAAGAAGAAAGAAAAACCACTCCGAGAAGAAACAAATTACGGGCTGCATTAAGGCATGTGAATCTACAGTTACAATCTCGAACTCAAATATCAGCGTAAAGCAGACTATGGGGAAGCGAAGTTAGAACGACATAGATGATGTGATCAAGAGACAAAATAGGTTTAGATTATGTTGCAGTTTGTTACGGGTCCCAGCAAAAGAGCTTATTCAAGACATAACAATACGCACAGTTACTAGTGATATACCAAAATGAATTAACACTACAAACCTAAGTGTCTGTTTATGAGTAAAGCAAAAAGGTAACAAATAACACAATAAAAATGGTATATTAAATAACAAAATGATAATAGTTGTTATGAAATGAATGTTACTTGTAAGCTTCTGAGATAACAATCAAAAATATGTTCAATTGATTAACGGATGTTCCTCTGCATGTGATAGCACCAACAGCGTAGTGAGAAAGATTAAATCCGATAGCATTTTTCAAATAATGATCTGGGCACAAACTCCAACGAAGTGGAGAATGGTTTAAAACAACGTCACAACGCCATTTTAATATTCTAATACTAGCCGTGGTCAATAAAGCAGGAGAACAGACGGCAGAGAGGCAACCGCTCAGTGGCATCCTCCACGGTTGAAGGCTACTGAGCACTTAAAGATTAAATTGTCGTAAAACGGTTGATGCATCACCTCGATAATCCGTAGGGTTTTGCAGAAGCGTTCAAATCAAGACAATTTTAGATTTGATGAGTTTTAATGATCTGAGATCTGACGCCAACTGGATCGTTTCTGATTCCTACTGAGATATACATGTCGCCAATCAACTTAAATAGCGTTAGTGAATTAAGGAATCAAATAAGTCAAATACGAGCAGGAAATAAGAACGCGTGTACTTCATACAGCCGTTGATCCAAACAAACGATCAAAGAAAGAAAGCGAAATGACGAGCAGTGGAGAAGGCGTGTGAGCCAATTCGATTTAGTCAAGCGTTAATCGATATTTACAGTCACACAATTATAGGTCACATACATGTTGTGAGTAAGATAAGAAATGCACACACGCAGGCTCACATAAAGACAATCAAGGTTGATAAGCGAATAATTAACAATATCAAAATGTAGCTTGAGAAAAATGTATAAATTGGTTTGCGCACAAGCTAGAATAAACTGCGTGAGATCCACACACAATCAGCCACACTATGTTTGGTAACGTCCATCCTTCAAGTAAAGAAAGTAATGCCATCGTAATAATGCATGATATAATCTAAATCTTCAATGATATTATGCTATCGCGACGACTTAGCAGTTGGGACAATTTTGTGGCCTGATCGAAAGAGGTACAAAAGGTCATTCAGTTAGCTACAACGTAGAACCATCCGTCCAAGTTGCCACACTGCATTAGCATAGCAAGATGAGCAACGAATTAATGGGAGGTAATAGATCTTCTTCGATTGATAGTACTCCGTACAATATGCTCATATTAAGTGTCATATCAGTATGTTGAAAGAACAAAGATGACTCAACTCTAAGGTATTTTTTCTTCATATATGTTTGTACTTATGGATGTTAATGCAGTGCATCAGAATCAGATATCTGTCTTCATGTTAGGATGTGTAGAATAATATACCAATAGTTATCATGTTAAGTCTAATATCGTCCTTGGACGCTAAATGTACATTCCCTATTGGTCGATATTTGCTTCACTTGTTTAATATTGTGTAAATGTTGTTTTCTATTTTTACGGTACGATGTGGTCTGCTTGGTTGGTATATAAACGGAGTGTGTTTGAAATATAATGATTCATATCTCAGAGGCTGTGACTTGCGTTCTGGACTCAACTGGCTGGAATAGACAGCGAAGTAGGGCCAATCGGGACTCTAGGTCGTTTGTACGTGTTTACGTGTCACTGGAACGATTGATATAAAACGCTGCGTATCTAACCTGCAGTTACCCGTTACAACACTTCAGGATGTAGATGATGATGGTGATCAACATTCTTCCGAAGAGCATACACCTAACTCACCATCACAACTTTACGAAGAAGGCGACCTTTTGTCATCTACGTATGCTTCATTTCAAACGAAGTTATTTTTTGAATCTAAATATTGCCACTGCCAATCTAAATTTTGGGTCCGTGCAGTAAATGGTGAGCTAACGATCACTTCGATTTGAACCATGCACAACCATCCTTGCACAGAAAGATACATTTTTGTAGATCCTTCAAAACGACGGTCGACGTCAAGTGAATGAATATATATAAGACGGTTTCAACTGAGTAATACTCCAACTCGTAGCTCACGACATTTGGTTTATTGGAAGTTCCATAAACAGCTTACCAAGGACGATATCGCAAAAATGCGATCACAACTGTACCCAGGTTGTTAAACTCACGTTCTAATTGATTGAGTTTAGATGCTAAAATTATCAACGAGATTTTTCATCTTGTTCAGGGAAACGCTGAAGTACAAGTATTCAATAAAAATGGGAACATATCTATGATTTGCTTCAGTCGCAGTGAGCAAATAGTTATTTACCACGCGTTCCCATAGGTACTATGTGTTGACTTGACTTATCAGACCAACAAATTTGGGTAAGTAACGAATAGTAAGAAATTTATCTTAAAGTTTCCCACTGTTCCAGCTAGTGGCTACCGATAGTCTTGGACAAAGGCACACTGTTACGTATGCACTTTGCAGACAAGAACAACACGAAGATGGCGTAAGACTACTCGAATACTTCAAAGACATAGTGTGCGGTACTTATTATACAAGCCCTTTCGTTACGGATTCGGCAGCGACTGAAATTCCCGCGGTACATTCTACACACAGTCACGCCGATATAATACTAAGTTCGTTCTATGTCTTAACTGCACTTCCCGAGAAGGTAAGGGCCAACTGTACAAATTATTTGCTGCAGTTCGGAAATCCGGATGTAGGCAAATGCTTGGAACATCTCGCAAAAAACAGGCGACCTGACACGTAAGCTTCGCTTTTTATAATGCATTATATTCAGGTTTCCTTAGAAGTATGAGTGCCTGAGAACCCATTTTCACTAGCCTATGAGTACACAAGAGATAATTGGATTGTTTGGAAGTCAATGTGGTCTCACTGTTACCAGCGTCATGCACTAAGCCTGGACAACCACACAAACAATCGTATGGAATGCGCTGATAAACACCTGAAAGAATGTCTCAGTGGAGGTGATTCGCTTCTGTTGATGTTCTGGAAAGTCTGGGGTAAGACAGACAGTGAACTATGTTCGCGTCCACATGACGCATTAAAGGATCTTTAACGTTTTCCATGGCTTGAGGTAAGAGATGTAGTTAAATTTATCATCAATTTCAGGTTCCAAAGTCATTCCAAGCTTTTAAGTGATCCCAGAGATTTCGCAGTTGTAAATTATAAACGAGTTAGGAGGATGAAACACGAAGTAACAGCAGGAAAATACATCCACTGCTACGGCAAGAGCATAATGCATATTGTCGATACTTCACGGGCACGAAGTGATTGTCAACGTCTCAATGACTACATGTTGCCGTGTGGTCATATTTTGTTTGCACACGCCAAAGATAAAATTGGTGTTTTTTTATCTCTATAAGCATCATGGATTTATTTCGAGATACCAGTCGCTTGACAAGGAACTACAAAGTGGACTTGGTTCTCCGTGCGTTGGACAACAAGTCAAGCTCCACAGTGATTGAAGGTCTGCTTGAGAAGTTCGTTAATCACTACCACTCAATCCATACTCTCTTAAGCATTTTGATACATGTTAGGAGGCAAGGATTTCATAGTATTTACGAATCACAAACCACTGAACAATGGACTAAAAGCGAGAGTCGATAATCACTCACCTCGAGAAGTCCGACACCTT